CACAGAGTTCTGTAGGAGGATTAGATTATTTAAGACAGTGTGTTTGTGCAAGCTTTTTTCACTGCTAGTCATGTAGGAAAAATCAATACATATATGTGTACATGAATGCAGTAGAGCAAGAGGGCTTTATATAGGAGTTTAAAACAGCTATCATCAGACGATATATTACTGTCTATTATAGTCTAATGAATATTTGTATAATATGACGTCTGTATACAGTCAATGTATACACAGGCAATGAATATCATGAATTTAATTTTTCAAATATCTACATGTCTGTCTGCTTCTGTGCTACTTTTAGACATAAACTACCGTATTTCTTTTCTACCAGGCAGAAGTACAAAATAATCAAAATAATGTTGTTAGCTGTTTCATCTCATGAAATAATAAGTAGTCCTTTTTAAAGTCATTTAGCAAATGAGAGAGAGAGACAGAGAAATACGGGTTAAACCCACTCAACAAAACTAGGTCATTTTGAGACTAACACATGGTTCAATTTTATTTCAATAATTTGCTTGCGCGTGGGGGTTTTTAGCAGTGGGAGGAAAACCCATGAGGTTGAACAGTCGACCCTACTCCTTGTCACGTACAACCCGGGAATCTAAAACCATGCCAATTGACTCAATGGCAGACCTTATGATACAACGCGCATGCACTAACCATTCGGCCATTCAACCTATAACACATACTGGTACATATACTTACGAAAGAAAGAACAATTATTTATTTTGCCGACATTTTGAAAAGTATTCTCTTTCACCAAAATAAATTAATTGTTTTTCTATAAATATGGGCTATAGTTTATTAAAGTGTTATCGGGTGTTCTTTAAAGTAGTGTTGAGTTGTTTTTAATGGGCCTGTGTTCAGCTTTGATCACCAGGTTTGTATACTTGAGTTTCCTCCCCTATATAAACTGAATTATTGAAATGAAAAATCTATATGTACTATGCTGGTCCTGAAATTACCTATAAAGTAAGCAATCCTGCTTAGCTCACAAATGATTTGTAAGCTGGTATTTTCCTCCTGTGACTTTTTATTTTTTTTTCGTGATGTCTTGTACAAGTACAGAAAGGTGGTCACAAATCTTCTGTTGAAGCGTGCAAGTGTGCAAATTTGGTCTTGATTTCTCTCATTACACAGAAATATATCGTTTAACACGCATTATTGATTTTTACAAAGGATCTTGTGCTTTTATCCCCTTTCCATCTGAAGTACTTGATACCAATCCTTATCATTACTTCAGTCAGGCATTAAATTGCGTACATGCATTATACTGTAGTGATGAGTTCAGTGTTCCACATACACTGCATGCAACACCGAGATAACATAATGCTGAACGTATTTGTCTATTCAATTTGATGTTTGTAACTTGATTTGACATAGCCATTAGTCAAAACAAACCCTGATTCTTTTTGAAAGGACGAAATATTCGGTGTTTGGTTCAATCTGAAGCCTGTTTTCTATCATATCAACCAATAAATAAACGGCATGCAGCAGACTAAAATGTCCTTGGTTCAGTGAGAGACAAAAGTCTTAAGAACTACAGCATTATGTAAATGTCAAAAAGTTCTTCTTTGATTCCTGGAGCTACAGAACTCAAGATTGTATCATTATCAATTTTTCTCCATTATTCATGTTGGAAGGAAAAAGACTGGTAGTGAATTGTTTGTAGAGGAATTCTGTTCAAGCATGCTGTAAAATCAATAGGTGAATTGACAGTCATGTTATTACGGATCTTCTGGCGTCAGACAAGGAATATGGTAAATCATTCGCACATAAATGTCAATCAATTGATGATTAGTGCACTTGTTAGGTTTGGTCTTCGATTCCCTGTAGTAAAGAACTAAAGATCGCGTATTGGATTATATTGTATGAGAATGTTGCGAATTGTGTGACTTTGCATCAATATTTATAATGTATCATAAGAAAAGATTAGTGCATCATGACATAAATGTAACCTGATGGGTGGCGACATAAACGTGTATCGAAATTGTTTTGTTTTTTTTTATTCATGATTTTAACAAGAGTAGGTAGTTAAGCGTTGTTGGCTCACTGCGTATGGTGCCGACTCATCTAAACAGGAGGCTCTGGGTTTGATCCAAGAAAGTTCTTTGAGATTTTCCAGTCTTGTTTCTGTAGGACAAGAGTGTCTGACAAGTAAAACTGTCTAGTTGTTCGGATGTGACAAAAAGAGGCCCACTTATGTACTAATGTCGTAAATGTAAAAGAACCCTTCTTTGCTGGGTAAAGATTTCCCTGGTCTATTTACTTCTTCATTAGCGTGGTTGGTGTAGAAAAGTATGACGTTAAACTCTATTTCCATTTCATTTTTAACCCTAATAGCTTGATGCAATTAGGGAGCCACGGTGGCTCAATGGGTAAGATGTTGGCTAGCTAACTTCGAGGTCCTGTGTTGGATCCTTGCGTTGGTCGAGAAAGTTCATCAGGATTTTCTGGCGTTGTTCTTCCTTGTCAGTGGTGCAGGACTGAGGGTCTGCTAAGGGACAATGTATTATCATTCGGATGGAACGAAAAACTGAGGCACCGTGTACACATTGGCATGCGCGTTAAAGATCCCTTGGCAGTTGGAATTCGATATAAGAGTAGACTGTAGCACCGCTATCCGGGCAAGATTTCCCTCATAGCACACATGGCATATGCAGAACAGTAGTAGTGTAACCCTATATCATTTCATTTATTTCATTGATGAAAATATATCAAAATTTCCCTCATAGCACACATGGCATATGCAGAACAGTAGTAGTGTAACCCTATATCATTTCATTTATTTCATTGATGAAAATATATCAAATCAATTAAAAAGATTTACCTGATAATGACATCATTAGCCTATCGTCTAATTAATTTCTGTTGATTATAGACTGCCTACACATACAATACAAAATTAAACTTGCCTATTGCCGGTTGTGTTTCTGGCTTCAAAATCCTATATGAATTATTATTTAGATGTCTCAACTGTCTAGGCCATCGGAGATGGCTTAGATATTGAGTGGTTTAGACAATGCCTGCCATATCTGCGTTAAACACAAAATTGACCGGAAACTGCCGAAGAAAGCACTGAAAAACAATCATTTCTTTGTGTTGTTTTGTTCATTAACTATTTTTTATGGTGGCAATCAAATGAATATAGTGTTTCCAGATATGTAATAACATCAAAGTTAAAGTTACATGTATTTGCCATCCTTCTTTCTGGACACTTTGTCACTGCGTTATTTTGCCCTTTGATCCCTAACAGAGAAAACTTGTTTTGGTTATCAGACCTAAGTTGTTAATTATAAGCGGAAGTCTACAGGGGTTGGGGTTTGTGCTTTAGACCCTAAGATCCGTCATTGGGTAAAGTTGTTTAGATTCCAAGTCTATATGTGACAAGGAGTCTTGTCTATCCAACCTCATTGGATTTCTCTGCATCTCGCATCATTGTTCTACATGTATGGCTAAAGATCCTTACACACAACACAAGCAAATTATTAAACTTACATTATGCAAGAGCTAAATCTGCCTATTGCCTGTCTCTTTCTTTAGGTCTGAAATGTTATCTAAATTATTAATTAGACATTAATTAACTTATGTAGAACATAATCAACTCTCGATGTCATCACTAGCCTGCGATATTTACTGGATTATGATCCGATTTGCTGCTCAACATTCGTTCATGATTTAATCATGAAATGGATAATCGAGACTATGTTTTTTATCGTATTGACTTTATTAATGATGATCGAGGCTAGGCTGAAATTTCAATCGCTTAAATCTCGGTTCATATTGGATCAATTTGACTGAAATTTTCAGCAAATTGCCTTTAAATTATCTAGTTTTAACTATTATAGTGAGAACTGCCAGCTCTTTATCTAATCTCCCATAATGTATCTTTCAGATTAACCATATGTTAGCCTTGAAATGACTTATGCTGATAGACATTAATCTCTCCATCTTTATCTTAATTAAATAAAGCTCAGGTGGTCTTAACTGCCCACACAGAACTTGTTGTTTACAGATATAGAATTTGTGCATTAATATTACACAATTAATCAACATGGATTCAAATAATTTATAATAAGCTGCATTGATTATTTCTATAAATATGTACAAGTTGTCTAGCTACTTAATCATACTATAAATATTTCCATTGAATAATTACATTGTAACAAGACCAAATTTAGAAAAAATCATTGATTGATTTACTTCGACACTATAGTTACCGACAATCAAGGTAAATTGAGGCCAGGTCGTAAAACTTCTTGCGTTAATTATTTATTCTTTGAGCTTTAGATAAGATCCCTCGTGAAAACTTTAAACTAAAATAGTCCTCTATTCTTCTTTCTGGGTGATTTTTTTTATTGTATTTAAACACAACACGTAGTAGGCAGCTTTATTTTATTTTTTAAATCTATTGTTCATATTGTTCATGATCAGGATGCTAAGAAATTGAAAATAATATTATAGTGTATGATTGCCATGGCCCATGTTCATGTTGGTATTAAAGGAACTAAATCTCCAATTTTTTTTTTTATAAGACTCCAGATAATATTGAGTTGTTTGGTGTGTTTGCGCATGAAACCATAAGATCTGTCATTGAGTCAAATAGCGTGGGTTTGATTCCCTACTGGTATGTGACAAGAACTAGGGTCATCTCAGGGTCCTCTGTTTTCCTCCGGCAGCTACGTGCAAGCGAATTATTGAAATAAAATTGAACCATATCTAAGTCCCAAAATGACCTAGCTTGTATCAAGTGGACTTTAAACCCCATTTCTCTGTCTCAAAATGACAGGTACAAACAACTAAAATCATTAATTCCACGTCTGCCTACATCATGTTTCATTTAACACATACATGCATTTTATTTACATTAATCGCTTATTTTACAGTTTTAAAGCGCATACATGTATATCATATGTAAATACATGCGTATTTCACCATTTTAATCTTCAGTGTCTCACTGAAAAGCATTAATTCAATTTTACTTCTTTTTTTTTTTTCAGAGTCTGCATTTACCGTAACAGATGAAAATGACATTAGAGCGTAATGCTGGCCCTCTGTACCAGCAACAGACTATGTCAGCACCCCAGCAAACCAAAGCCATTGATATACCAAAGAAAGATGAGCCTATGTACAGTAGAAACAGTCCCAACACCCTCAATGTCCTTACAGCTAGCTCAGACTTTGAATTCTCCAATAGGTATGATTCTTACTTCTAAAATGCTGATTTTTATTATGAACTTGCATAGATATTTTTAATCGGCCATTATTGCAGACATAAGATGCATGTAATCAGTAATCGTAATAAGCTGTTATCAATTACACATTTTTTTAAAAAAGTAATCATAGGTAATTTGTAATCAGACATCTTCTGTTTACACGTAATTTAATCGATTACTGTTGAAAATATGCTGTAACCAGGATTACTTTATGATTATTGTTAAATATATTCCCTTTACATGTACTTTATGATTATTGTTAAATATATTCCCTTCACATGCAGTTCCACAAATTTGTAGATATGAATATCTTTTTTAAGTACATGCTCACATATTCTGTGCATGCCCCATTTTTAATTATCTGTCAGTCATTGATAAAGGATCAAATCCAAAATATTATTTTTACGTACATCAGAGGTGGCAGACAAAACATGTTACTGGCATATTACCTAATTTTGAATTTCAAAACAAGAAGATTGAGTCGATGATCCACAGAGAATGGGTCGTTTATGCAGAGAAAAAAATATTACCTCTCTAAATAGTTAAATGCAAAAGAATTAATCTGCGAAAATGGACTTTCTTATGACTTAATCCATAAAAATTGACTTTCTTACGACATAATGCACGCTAATACATCGAATACATGTATGTACTCACTTTACTCAGATTGATTATTTAATTAAGAAAAAATAATCAAAATAACAACATTAGATCTCTCCTCTTAGATTCAAAACAGACCCATCAAATTGGTTCATGGTGAATAAAATTGGCTGATGTCTTGTTACATAGGGAGCAGTGCATACATGTAGCTCAATGGCTTTGTCATACCTTTGTAAATACTGAATGGAATTGAACTATTTTTAGACTTATATTCCTATCAGAGATTAGGCTATCAAAATAGTGTAGTAAATTAAAATGGAAAATGATTAAAATGTTGGATGATGGCTAATCGGGTGCCAGGTGGGAACAATGGTTACAGATAAAAATTATGGTGTTGTGAATAATTATTGAGCTTGTATATTTATGGGATTATCAAAATTACTGTTTATACTAAATACTTAGGTAGAGTACTGAATCATCAGCTTACAAGTTTATTGACTAATCTTTGACTACTTTTAATCTCATCGACCGACATCAAGGGGATTAAAATGTACCACAAAGAAGAATCCACAAATTGTTTTCAGGATTAAGATATAAAGGGATTAACGTAGATTTAGAAAATCAATGAAGGCAGATTGAGTAGTTAATCAATTAATATAGGTTTATAACACCATAAAAGAATTGATCATTTAATTTTATGTAAACAATCTAGCCAATTATCAACGATAATCAAGATGAGTAGTAGTTATATACTCAATACAGTTAATATATTTTGGAATTTTGAATAGTATTCACTGTATGTTCCAGGTCGGACGTTTGGAAAATTGAGTAGGAGATGTCCGTAATATATTATGATAGCTTAATCTCTGATAGAAATATCAGTCTAAAAATAGTTCAATTCCCTTCAGTATTTACAAAGATATGACAAATCCATTGAGCATTATGTATGCGCTGCTCCCTATGTAACAAGACATCCGCCATCTTTATTCTATGCACACTATAAGTAATAAAAATCGATTCTGTCAACAAAAAACGTTCCGAAGGTTAAAAAAGGTAGCATCTATGGTGTAGTTGTAGAACTGACAGCTGATCTCAGAATTAGAATCTTGGGCTGATACTGATGTTAAATTGCATTCTGTTTACTTTGCACTTTATGCACTTTGTTTCAATTGTGGACTCGATTGATTTAGTCTTTTGGTGCATTTTGTAGTTCATTTCTCAATTTATTGTTATTGAATTAGACTGTTTATACTGAAATATTTATCAGTGTAGTAAATCAAGAATCGTAATTCAGTGTGTTATTTGCGTCATAGAATTGTTCTATGCTCTGTTTACTTCATGAGGTGACACAAAATATATTTCTTCAAATCTGGAACTTAAAATGAATTAATTGTGTTGCACATATTTATGAAATGTGAACATCAAGGTCCCATGTACAGTGCTCACTCTGGGTTCCATTTTTTTCCCCAATTTTTTATTTTAATTTATTAACCATATATTTTTTCCGCCAAAATTTTTATTACATTTTTACTTTCAACATAAATACATAAAATTGTGATGTTACAATTTAAAAAGTTTTCTCTACTTGGCGTGCACGTAAGAGAACCTTGACAGTTGGAATTCCTAATAAAGAGTAGGCTGTAGCACCGCTGTCCGGGCAAGAGTTACCTCATAGCACACTGTCTGTCTTCATGTAGCACTGATGGAGTAGAAAAGTAGGACGTTAAACCCTATTCCAATTTTGTTATGTACAGCAAGCCAGCCCGAAACACTTTTCACACTCAGATGGGCCTAATCATAATAATATATTTGACTTTTCATCTGGCCAGTTGTGCCATTAAACAAAGACATTAGAAATGTATTTAATAGGTAAATTATTGATGAAGAAATGTCTCGCAATACAATTTTCTCATTAAAAATACATTGAAGAAAGTGAATCTATATGACATTAAGATGACTTGTCTTAGCTAATCGCAATAGTATATGCTATGATCGATTCAAACCACCATCTTGTTTGATTAAAGAGAAATAATAAGATTTCAAATTCTTTTCCATATCGTTCGGGGGGTTGGATGGCTGAATGGTTAGCGTGCGCGCGCTGTATCATAAAGTCTGTCATTGAGTCGACTGGCGTGGTTTCGAATCCCCGGTTGTACGTGGCAAGGAGTAGGGTCGCCTGTCCAACCTTGTGGGTTTTCTCCGGGGCCTCCGGTTTCCTCCCTCTGCTAAAGACCCCTACGCGCAAGCGAATTATGTTAATAAAATTAAACCATATGTTAGTCCCGAAATGACCTAGTTTGTGTCGAGTGGACGTTAAACCCCATTTCTCTCTCTCTCTCCATATCGTTCAAGACTTTATACTGTTTTCCTGTCTTCAGAAGGGGGTTGGGTGGCTGAATGGTTAACGCATGTGCTCGTTTGATCATAAGGTCTGTCATTGATTCAAGTGGCGTGGTTTCAATTCCCCGCTTGTATGTGACGAGGAGTAGGGTCACCTGTCAAACCTGGGTCCTCTGGTTTCCGCCCGCTGCTAAAGAGTAAAGATAAAATTGAACTATATGTTAGTCCCCGAAATGACCTAGTTTGTGTCGAGTGGACCTGAAACCCCATTTCTCTCTCTCTGTCTTCAGATGATTGTGAAAACAGTCCTCGGTGGAATATAGTACAGACTTTTGGTATTAAAATATTTGTATTAAAATGTATGGGTTGTTAGTCGAGAATGAGTATTTATGATTGTTCTATAAGCCAGTGACAATGAATGTCAGTGGTGTGTTCACAGCAAGGTGTTAGATATTAAATTCAGTACAATATTAGTGTGTACATCTGTCAAAATACATATTCTTCAAATGATAATATCAAAAAAACCATTGACATATTGTGTGAAGAGGGAAACAATCCCAAAACTCTTTAAAAGATTAAAAAAAAAAATCAACAAAGTCAACTTCATGCAAAATAAACCAAATAACCCCAATTTTCAGTTTATTATAAAATCTATAGTCCGTTATATCTCCACATTGGTTTTAACTACAGATATATGTAAAATCCAACGAATTAGACATTTTTTAAAATTTGATTGCATCATACATGTATTAGATTTTACTTGTCTTTGTCTGCCTCAATTTACCCTTGACTGATTGCATTCAATTTCCATTCAATTGATATTTTAAGAAATGAACAATAGTAGTAAACTCAATGACATTTATATTATTGTTTACACATCGTAGAACTGGATTATTTATTTATGTAAGTAAAACCTTGAAACTGAAATACTATAAACATGTATAATTCATTCATATTGATATTTTCACCCACTAAATATGTAGATATATTCAAGTCATTTATTTTCTATTTATACAGAAAATTGAGTATATTTAGATTGGTTTATTGTCCGAGCCTTTTCGCGATAGCGTGTTAGGTATCGACCCACTACCATCATTGACGTAAAAGGACAATTATTGTACTAATACATGCGATTGGTCAAACACTTTCATTCCACTTATCAATGACAACTTTCTACTTCACTTGCTCCACCTTAATTGCGAATAAAAAAATTTAGTATATAAGCAGGCCGGGAGCCATAAACAACCTTAACTTTACTATAAATTAACTCCGATTTGGCTAAGACTAAATAAATTGAGCATCTTGTGTGTTCCTTTTTGATGTTTTGTGTGAAAAATATTAATATTGATTTATTTTTATGCGTGGACTTTTTTTATGTGAGGACTTTTTTTTTCAGATATAACTGAATTAATTGAGCATATTAGTTATTGATTTGTTCTTGATATGGGGTTTACAAGAAATATAGATTAACATCTGCTTTAGTGTTTGTTAATGATGTTAATGATATAATTTACATAGGAATCTTGTAATATCATGCTATAAATTAAATGGAATATCAGACAATAGCTTGTATGTGTCTGATATAATGATCTTGACTAACAATAAACGCTGGGTCAAGTTCTGGATAAATGATAACCAACTGTTTCATAATCTCTGCATTCAGCCAAACCACAGATTACTGTTGTACATGTATTGAAAACATTTTCTTGGCATTAATGTTTTACAATATTGTTTTCTGGTTGATATTTATTTAATCTGTTGCCCCATTAACAATTTAAAGAAATCATTTTAGCTTAGAGATACATTATGTAAGTAAAGATACATTATGTAAGATCTAAATCTGTCTAATGCAGATCTTCTTTCATTTGTCCTCAAATGCTATGTAATTATTAATTAGATATGCGATGCCCATTACACTGTTCTTTTAATGGCAATGAAGTAATTTGGCTGAAATTTTCAACAAATTCCCTTTTCATTAAATCTAGTTTAAAACTATTATAGTGAGACCTGTCAGCTCTTTATCTAAATCTTACATAATGCCTCTTTAATTAACTTATACAAGATATAAGAGGGAAATTTGACACAGAAACGTTACGATTTTAAATTAAAAATGACAACTTAGCATAAAGAACGGTATATTATCATCGATATATATTATTGTGATATGAGTTAAAATAATGGTGGATTTGCATTTTGAGAGTCATTTTGACACAAAAACGTTACAATTGTGAATTAAAAATGAAAATTTGGCATAAAGAATAGTATATTATCAAATATCGATATAAATTAATGTCTTATAAGTTGAAATAATGGTAGATTTTGGTGGATTTAGGTAAATTGTGCTCCTGTTCAAAGTGGTTCATTTCTGTGTATTAATTACAAAGATATGATAAACTGAAAATTTTGGGACATTTGTCATCTTTAAAGAGCTGTATAAAATTATTTGATGGGCCTCTTTTTAATCCGATTGAATCAAAGAAGGGAGATAATCTACCATTTATATTTTTATTAACATTGAGCCATGAAAAATTAGACATTGTTCGGAAAATGCAAATGACAGCCAGGGGCTATAATTTCTGAGTTAAAAATGCTGAATCAATATTTTCGATAGTGATTGCGGCTTAAAAAACGTAAACAATTACCCATTTTTTTAGACAAAATAAATGGCATGCATAGTTTTGTGAAAACAGCAAAATAATGAAAGCGTTTGTATAAAAAAGAGGACAGTGGAACTTTAATTTCATGGATGTCGTCCCTGGAGCATCCTTAGAATTATTTATAGTTTTGTTCAATGAAAGTGTAACAGAAGCTGGAGGTGATTGATAGGTTTACATCAAACATAAGCCAGTGAACCATTTCCCGGAGTTGAAAGCCAAATATCCACTTAAAGTGTGGTCCTCCTTGTAATGTGGCCATAACACTAGACATATTTATTATATGGATGGTGAATCAATAGCCAGAAATAAGTCTCAGTGCCGAGTTTGTCTGACGTAATACACTGACATGAATAACTAGTGGTATAGATCTAATATAGATCTATCGCAACTCTCCCGAATCATCATCATCCTTCTATTTCACAAAATCTTAAGCCGCATTGATCGAGGTAAAAATTGAACATGACAACATAACCACCAGATGAATTTGCGTCAGATTTTATTTTTTTAAATGCACAGAGATAAGATTACCAAAAGTGTTATGTATAAATGCATCACTTGGGATTCGTACGTTGAAAATTGTTACGCCGAGAAAGTCGAGGCTGATTGCGGCGTAGTGACTTGACGTATGTATCAAATGATTGACTGTTCCGTATAATGAAATAGACTTGTAGGAGTGGGATGTTGGATTGCTATTAGTACAGAAGAGCACTTATTGATCAACTCACAACTTGGACCGATGCCAACCAATTAGATTTATTGAAATCCGTGGTTAGGGAATTCTTTGGTGTTTAAACTAGTAACGTTAGTTCTTTATGAAAATTTGTCTATGTGCCACATGTGTCATGATTTGAAATTGAATTAGAAAAAATCCAAAAAACCCTGATTTTTCCTTTTTAGGTCTTACACATTTGTTTAATGATGTTATATAGACTTATCCCTGTTTCCCAATCTCAAATATCATGAATAAAAAATAAAGGGGAAGAGGGTTTTTACATAGGCATGTCAATATATAATTTGTTAGAACTTATATTTGAGATCTTTTGTTCAAAGTGTTTTGGTGTCTTTTAGTTGTTTTTTTTTTATAAGAATGTGTCATTCTTTGAAATTGAAAAATAAAAATGACTCACATTTATAGATAGAATTTTTTAAGTTTGTTTAAACATAATTTTGTTTCAAGAGAAATTGGATATTAATAATTTGTCAATTAAAGTGAATACGAGTGGGATGCCGCAAAATGACATATATAAAGCTGGTAAATAAATTTTTTAAATCTTGAAAACAAACGATGACTGTGTCAGTGATTCACCATACACTAGTGTAACAAGCCTTTTATTTGCTTATAAAATACCTTAAAGTTTTCCACTCTGCCAGATTTCTCTTATTTTTTTTTTCTCAAGGTATAAAATTCAAACAATTTAAGAAATTTTCCCCCCAGAAACAAGTACTCACACCCACTCCTGTTTATAAGAAAAGATTCAAGTATTTGTATTGGTTCTTAGAATTTAAATCCACACTTGTAAAGAGAAAGGATGTCAGATATTCTCTTGAATTTGACCATATATGACAATATCTTAATTAAATGTATTAATAGTAAATCTATGCTTATTGTTTGAAATTAATTGATGGTTGATACAACTTGAACTATTATTGTCTCATGTCCCAATGGCCAGTTCAAAGTTTAAAATGGATGTTGAATTGAAAATATCAGAGGTTTTTATGCATTTAATAATATAAAAGATTTGAATAGTTATAAACTATATTTACTGTCTGAACCTTAAGGTTTAGTGGATGAATTTTCAATTTACTTTTTATGTCTCTTTGTGCAATACATTCTGGTCAGTTTCCAAAGATGTGCATATAAATGTAATTCGGATTTAGATTAAAAAATCCATGGATCAGTGTGGAATCATATCCAGTAATAGTATATGATACCTTTGATATTTGAAAGAAATGGTGCAGTATGTTACATGTAATACAAAGAATAATAATGTCACAGTTGCTTTATGTGGGTGGTAGGTTGGGTGGCTGATTGGTCTAACCTGTCATTGAGTCAATTGGCGTTGTTTCGATCCAACACTCGGAGGTGACAAGGATCAGGGTTGTTTACCAAACCTAACAGGATTGTTTGTATCATATGTTTGTCCCATACGGAATTAGTTTGTGTTGAGTGCAGGTTAAAATACTCTCTCCTAAAAAACATTTTGTGGAGGGGGGGGGGGTCCATCCTGCTTTTGGTTGACATATTATGTTATTACCAGGCATGCCAAATAACAATAATTAATTTAATGTATATTGATAATTGGTGTTTTATATTTCAGTATGTTACGATTGGAGAATGATGTAGAACAAGTGAGTTTAACAGAGAAATCCGATTCTTCTAGAAGTCCATCTCCTACGACAGCTACATGTCGATCAGCCCCGGTGACACCCATTCATAATCCTTCCTGTAGCGTAGATTATAGAGATAGCGCCCAACGTGGTTTCTTTGATGGTCTGCTAGGTTGTTTAAGGCCTGTGTGGACCATACTCGGAAAGGCAGCAGTGGCTGAACTAAAGCAAAAAAACAGCAGCAAAGAAGGTAGGGATTTATTCTTTGAATGACATTTAGTATTTGGGACACAATCAGTTGAATCAATTTGTGTTTTATATGCTTGATAACTACTCATGAAATCTTGTTGAAACGTAGCAGTTTTAATTGAAGATAGGAATTTGTTACAATGTATACACAGTATGTAACAAAATCTTAGGCACTAATGAACTTATTCCTGACAATTGAACTTTGGTGCTGAACATTATTACAAAACACTGATAAATTCTGTGTTGGACAAGCCTGACAAATCCTTATTTCTATGCTTGTATATATAGATTGCAAAATAAATAAAGCGTACTCTAGTCTGTATCAACCTATGTTCGATTTCAATAATTTATTACTGCATGATGATCTGAAATAAAGTCATACATTTACCTGAAAATAGTGACTGAATGTGCTCTATGGACCTGAACAGATGAACGCCATGAAAATTAACTTAGCTCAAATCTTTCGATAAAAAAACCAAACCCACTATGCGTAAAATGTAGCGGTAAAAAATTTGCCATTATTTCTTTTGTAGATCTTGATTGAGAGCAAGAACACTGCCTTTAGCATTACTATTTAATTATGTTGTTTCAGATGATTGGGAGATACCGTTTGAAGATATCACCAATTTACAGTGGTTGGGCAGCGGAGCTCAAGGAGCCGTCTTTCTCGGCAAACTTAATTCAGAAGAGGTAGCAGTGAAAAAAGTCAGAGATGTCAAGGAAACTGATATTAAAAATCTCCGTAAATTAAACCACCCTAATATTATTTCTTTCAAGTAAGTGGCTTCCAAATTTCTAGGTTGCATTGGTTTGGGTCTGGTCTGGATAATAATTGTGGAAAAATCATATCAAATATTTTTTTTTAATTATTCATGTTAACTAATTTGTCTTCAAGTCCCATTGATTTCAACAAATTTAAAATTTAAATCTATTTGATGTATCTAGAGATTTATTTACAAACGTAGAATATTGACAGAAATGTCCATATTGTAAATTGATAAGATCTTGATATTGATGTTATTTCAGTGATTACTGTAGCTTATTTTGAAACGTTATTGAAGTATGTCAAAGCTCTATTGTAAAAAGGGGGCTACAGTGGCTAATTGAGTAATGTGCTGACTCGCTAACCTGCAGTTCCCGTGTTCGATTCTGGTGTTGGTCAAGAAAGTTCCTAAGAATTTTCCGGTGTAGTTTCCCCTTATCAGTGATAAAGGCTGGATTCCAGGCAAAGAACAGCAATTAGTTATTCTGATGGGACAAAAAAAAAAACCCCAGGTCCTATCTGCACATTAGCTTTGGAATTCAAAATAACAATAGCTTGTAGTGCCAATGTCCAGGCAAATTTTCCCTCATAGCACACTGCAGGGTGTGTGCCTTTCTCCTACCTATATAGTAAATAAAAGTATATGTTTTCTTTTTCAGGGGTGTATGTACTCAGGCACCATGTTATTGTATCATAATGGAGTTTTGCTCATATGGGCAGCTTTACGAAGTATTACGGGATGGTCGTGAAATCCCACCAAGCCTGATTGTAGACTGGGCCAAACAGATAGCTAGTGGCATGAATTATTTACATAATAATAAGATCATACACAGAGATCTAAAATCACCCAAGTAAGTTATATATCTTGTCCTTATTTACATTCATGCCGTGTAATAGATTCTGATTACATTGAAATTAGATGTTTAGGTTATAGGTGCATTATGTAAGAGCTAAATCTGCCTATTGCAGGTCTTTGTCTTGGCTTCAAATGTCATATAAACTATTTATCAACATGACCAGCCCATCATCAACTCTCTAGGCCATCAGATGGCTCAGATTTTAAGTAGATTAGAATGCTTTGCTCATTTAATGATTTAATTTAAAAATGAAGAAGCGAGGCTAAAACTCAAATTACACAGTACGGTGGTTAGGATCAATTCAAACATCTTGTCAAAAATACAACACATTGATAACTTCACTCCAACTAAAGTAATTTCTTTTACTCTTTCAGTGTTCTTGTTACTAATAATGGCGTAGTTAAAATATCAGATTTTGGAACGAGTCGAGAATGGAATGAGAAATCCACGAAGATGTCATTTGCAGGAACAGTAGCCTGGATGGCACCAGAAGTTATCAGAAATGAACCTTGTTCAGAAAAAGTGGACATTTGGTAAGATTCTACAATTACTTTTACAGTGAGAATTTATGCCGATTTATCAAACGATACCTTGTGCGGTTCATGTACACATTCATGTACTCATTTTCCAGAAAATGGGTGTGTGTGGTGTGTACGTGGGATCAGAAGGTCTGTCATTGAGTCAAGTGGCGTGGTTTCGATTCCCCGCTAGTACATGACAAGGAGTAGGGTTGCCTCTCCGACCTTGTGGTTTGAAATAAAATTGAACCATTTAGTCCTGAAATGATCTAGTTTGTGTCGGGTGGAGGTTAAACCTCTCTTATTAATGTAATTTTGCAGGTCATTTGGTGTTGTATTATGGGAATTATTAACAGCAGAAATACCATATAAAGATGTTGATTCGTCGGCCATTATCTGGGGTGTTGGAAGTAATAGTCTACATTTACCAGTCCCTTCAACATGTCCTGATGGCTTTAAATTATTAATGAAAATGTGTTGGTAAGTTCTATACTGAAATGGGTTGGGAGGTTGAGTTATCTAACTGGTGTTAATGTAATACAGGAGTGGAATTTGATGAAGCATCAGTTGAAACACGGTTGGATGAGCAGAATTTATCTTTTAACAAATTGTATCAGGGGCACGTTCAGGAATTTGAGTAGCGAGGGGTCCCAAGGTGGAGAAAACCTCAAATTTGGCGTTAGTTCGGAGGAAACTACCTGTGAATTTGATCAAATCAGATGCTTTGAAAGATATTTCTACTCATTTAGGTGTATACATGGCTAGGATTACAATGGAGTGAACCAAAACAGCATTATTTCCATGAATGTAGGAGAGAAAAATATTCTCTGTGCCAGCAGGTGGGGTGGAGGTGGTCAGGACACCCTGAAATTCCCCCCTGCGGACACGCGCCTGTGTATGATGCATGTCCATCTTCATAAGCTTGATTAGGACAGAAAAGTAGGATGTTAAACACATTTCATTTCATGTAATTTCTTTTGTTGATCAACATATATTTATTCCATGACAGATTTTGTGGCCGTAATAGTTTAAAGTCCTTTTTGACATTAGTTATAAATGGGTTATTTGACATTTTCAGGAGCGGTAAACCTAGAAATCGACCATCATTCCGTCAAATTATCATGCATCTAGATATAGCTACACCAGACTTAATCAAATGTTGTACAGAGGATTTCATGGCACAACAGGTTGGTAATATCAATCATATTGGAATACAGATTATCTTGTAACCACAGTGTTTACAAATAAATTGTACCTCGTAAATACTATATTTAGGCATAAAGATTATCTCGTAAATACTGTATTTAGGAATAAAGATTATCTTGTAACTACTGTGTTGACGAATAAAGATTACCTTGTAACTACTCTGTTGACAAAAAATTTATTCACATGACAAGGCCATTTATCAACACTTTAGACCATCGGATGGTCATGATTTTTAATGGATTGAAACATGATCATCATTAAAAATTTAATTTAAAAATGGATAATTGATACTTTGTTTATTATTCTAACAATAGTTGGAATGAAAATCAAGACTACACTCACTATTCTTATAAAAACTTCCAACATTCATAACATTGCTCGGGGTTGGATGGCCGAATGGTTAGCATGTGCACGCTGTCATTGAGTCAACTGGCGTGGTTTCGATTCCCCGGTTGTATGTGACAAAGAGTAAGTGCGTCTGTTCAACCTAGTTTGTGTATATAGTTGTGATATATTATTATGTTTTTCAGGAACAATGGCGTGAAGAAATTCAGGAATCTTTGCTTCAAATCAAATCAGATGGATCTCATTTACCACAAGTTGAAGAGGAATTGGTACGCAGACGGAAGGAAGAATTAAGGTTGGAACATGTGTATTTATTTTATAAGAGTTTATGATATGAATAGAATAATTGGTCATAAATTTTACATGTGGACAATAGGTTGTCTCAAGTAGTAATCTAGTTCTATAAATAACAGACTGTGTAAATCTTTCAACCCCCACTCGCCTCTTATACTCTGATTAAGAAATATTATGTTGAATCAAAACTCATAGCTTTTTCCACAATGCTAAAAATGTAATTTTAAATGTTCAAAAGAGTTTGGAGAAAGATTTATTTGGGAATTGCGAAAGGTCTGTATGTTTGTTTAAGATTTTTTTTTTTTGTTTTCAGACATGCCCAAGATGTTCGAGATCACTATGAAAGAAAGCTAGAACGAGCTAATAATTTATATATGGAGTTAACAGCTTGTATGTTACAGTTAGAGAAACGAGAGAGAGAACTTATAAAGTGAGTATAGTTTATCAGTATTGTGTTGGGCGGGACTGTACCTCAAGAATTTTGAGCATAGTTTCCTGCCTGTCAGTCGTGCAGGACAGGGGGTCTTGCAATGAAATTTGTGAAGTTGTTCAAGTATATTGTGATGCCAATATATAATTTACTAATTGAATTAAATATCTTTATAATATATTGTGATGTCAATATATAATTTACTAATTGAATTAAATATCTGCCTAATATATTGTGATGTCATTATATAATTTACTAATTGAATTAAATGTCTGCAGTGCCCAGTATATTGTGATTTCATTACATAATTTACTAATTGAATTAAATATTTCTTTAGAATAATGATATTAATATATAACAATGTGTTATGTTACAGACGAGAACAACACCTATTTAATTTTTCTAAAAGAAGAAAGAGTATCGTACGTCCTATTATTAAAGCCCAGGAGAGATTAGATCGATTAAGTAAAAAGAAATCCTATAAAGATGGTTCCACCGAAGCTACCAGGTAAGTCTGAAAATTCCAGTTTTCCTTAAAGTAACGATGTTTGATTTCCATTTTTCAGAAAATATTAAATTTCTCACGGCTTTATCACGCTAATAAACATTAAATTAAGAAAACAAAATCAAAATACCAATGCCAGATAATATCCTGGCTAAGATCAATCAGATTTAAAACACCCATGAATTTTGTTGACAGCATATAAAGATAGCTGTGCTCTCGTTACATAGGGAGCAGGATAGATTGATATTATATTAAATGAGTTGTATCTTTGTAAATACTGAATGGAAATGAACCATTTTAGGACTGCTATTCCTGTTAGATATTTAACTTTCATAATATTGTAGTTTACAAGTGATAAAATAGCACTAAAATCATGCTTAGTCTTTAAAGACAAACAAAACGTGCTCAGAATAACATGAAAGCTTTGGGTCGTTTCTCTTCTTCTGTATTCTAAATTAATTCATAGAATGCAGACCACAAAAAGAATGGTTTCCAGGGAAAAACGATGATGGAAGAGTATTTCTTCTTAAGTTTAATGTCATATTTTGAGTCACACGATTTTATGAGATTTAAGTTTTAGTGAATAAGGGGCCCTACAATGTAAAATGTATAACATCAAGAAGGAAAGGCTGTAACACTGTATTTATTTTTGTTATATTTCTGATTTTAGTATTTTGTACAACTTTGAATAAAATGCAATTTGTATTGAATATTTTTAGTCCTGACTCCCAGAAGACTGGCAGTATGACAGGTAGCATGACAACTAGTTCCGAACAAGTTCTTCCCTCACCTACTAAAATGCGCTCCAGAAAGAGTCGACATCGTCGTAACAATAGTCGTGGCTCTTTAAAAGACATCACCTCTCCAATCAAAAGTCCTTCAAATAACTCTTTACAAGAAGAGAGTCAATCAAAACCTAGTGCTTTACGCTTTGCTGACCCGAATGACAATGTTCCGTCTGCTAGTACGTTTAGATATATGGGACCAGGCACTGCTATCAGGGAAAACAAGAGCGAAGAGGAGAGTGCTACAGAAAAACCCGTTAATCAGAATTTGAAGGAAAAGAATTTGAATGATGTGTGTTTTGGGTGTGATGGGGGTTGTAGTGATGCCACCTGCAGCTCCAAACGGTCAAGCCAAATCAGTGCCGATGTGGAAAGTAACATTAACGATTCCCCGTGCACGAGTCCCTCACGATCGTGTAACAAGGACCTCATTGTGAACTCTCTACACCAAGCTACCTATTATCAGAATTTATATGAAAACCAATCAAAGCCCTTCAGAGAAAAAGACTCAAACGAGAATATCAATTGTCCATTAGATGTACTGACTGATTTAACGATTCCATTAACCGAGGAAAACGTGAAAAAATGTGGTAAAAATCTGGAGAACAACTTACATTGTTCGTTATCTGTTAAGAGAACTATAAGTGATACGGAAATATCACCTAAACGAAATGGGCATTCACAACGCTTGGATAGTGTAGAATCAAATGAGGATCACCCTGTTCATAAAACTGCTGTTACGTTCTCTAATATCAAGGTTAGTTGGATTAAATGTTTATTTTTATTTTGAATTTGTCATTTATTGGAATTGGGTTCATCATTTTGTGAATAATTTTGTTTTAGTACAGTCCATACATATTGTTGTAAACGTTCAAGGAAAATGCTGCTAGTTTCAGGGGATTTTAAATCTTTTTAATGTGACAGCATTGTGTAATTGTTTCAACGACATTTAGTAACTGGATGAGAATAACACATGAAACAATTATATGGAATACAAGTTACTTGAATGATTTATTTCTTCTTTGCTTGATAAAGACGAGAGAATCCTTGTTGAAACGTCGCCAGAAATAAATCTCCCAAGTAACTTGTATTCCAGGTATAATTGTTCTCAAAAGGGATACTTGATTGAATATCTGGGAATTGAATTTTCTCAATCCCATCAATAGTGACAATCACATGATAAGGTGATTTGGGACTGCAACACCTGTAGGCTGTGCTCACTGAATAAAGATATTTACCGTGATTATTAAATATGTCAGGATTCTACTCACATTACCTCAGTTATCGAGATTGATAGAAATGTTACCTCAGTTATCGAGATTGATAGAAATGTTACCTCAGTTATCGAGATTGATAGAAATGTTATCTCAGCTATCGAGATTGATAGAAATGTTACTAGACTAAATTCTGCGTCACATGATTGCTATTCTTTGAACTCTAAATAACAAACTTACTGTAGCCATTAGAGTTGTAAAGCAAATATCCAATATGGATAAAGCCAATGAACCATATGTTAGTCCCGAAATTACCTAGTTGTGTGGAGTGGACATTAAACCACCATTTCTCTATCTGTTTGATTACTTGAACAAATTCCAAACTTGAACAATATAGAACATCCATTTGACCCTCTATCTCCAGACATTATGGATTTGACACTCTATCTGCAGACGCTGTGGGTTGCAAGCAAAAAAAACCACTTTACTTTTTCAAATGCACATGACATTTTGGAGTATGCCCAGTCATTTAGTCTTTCTAAATATTCCAATAAAACTAATCAGGCATTTCGTTCTTTTTATTATTTGATTTTTTTTTTTTTTTCCAGCACTCGGAAGATTCTTATTCGGAAGAGGAAGGGGAGGTAAGTGAGGATGAAAGACACATAAAGCAGCAAAATAGAAGGTCATATTCTGGTATAAGTTCAGAAGGCGTATTTTCGGAAGAGGAGAATACAAGTGAACACATGTATGAGACTGGACCTGATAGATTATTATCGACTAACAGTTCGGAGAATTTACAATTAGAACTGGCTAAAATAACGGCTGCTCCATCAGATGGATTATCAGATAAAGAGATGACAGTGCGTAGAATGAGAAATCAGGTGGCCAATTCTCCAGAATCTGTGTACAAGGTTTGTTTTTATTTTATTTTTGCAAACGTGGACATAAATTATCACACAACGTATATATTATATTATAAAGTCTGTGACACTTGACATATTTCAAGGCTTGTTCTTAGAATACTTCGTTTCTTAATACAAGAGTTTTGTACCTACAATTTATCATGCATTGTGTTGTCCAGTTTCCACCCCACTCCTAAACACCCCTATGGGAATTATTGAAATAAAATTTACTAAAGGTTAATTCTGAATTTTTGTCAAATGGATGTTAAAATCTTGATCTCTAATGGAAAACGTTTTGTTAAATTCTGTTTTTTTAGGCTGCAGGGTTTAATATTGAATATATAATATTGGAATTATTTGTGATTATATTGTAGGATATGGGAAGTAGTTCCGATTCTGATGAATGTTCTGATGTTACAGTAAATACCACGGTCAACAGAAAACGATCATTTGAAAAACCTGATGGTGATAATAATTGGTAGTTTAATTATCATACCATTTTGATCTTCCTTTTGTTATTTGTTGATTTTTCACACAATGAACATTGTACATACATAATTTGACTTAATCATTGTTGGGGTATTTGTCTACACAGTCAAAATCAATTTGTAGTTTTGGGGTATGGAAAATAAAATCTCTATGTGTAGTGCGTAAAGCAAATTGTTTTTGGTAACTTCTGTTAAATATTTTGTGTTTAAAGCAAAAGATTATCTGTAAATGTGATTTTGATTCCGATATAGTTAGAAAAAAAATATCTGTTATTGATTTAAGATTTAGATCTATTTAGAACAAGGAATATGATCTTGATTTAGATCTATTCTGAACAAATTCGACTCTCTAATTACTTAGCAATAATTTATGGAAGTAACATCAAATTCCATACTTTAGATTGTCCCCGAAACAATGCAAACCTTGTAATATTTAATTCATATTACCGGTATACTATTTTAGTTTTTAAATTAGAAAAAGACTATGTTGTCTTTAGACATAATTTCATTATTGGACATTCAACAGTTGACAGAGTTAGTTACCTTTTGACTTTTATATAGCAGACACAATGTACCATTTTTACAGAAATATCTTCCATGGATCAAAAATTAAATTGAATTTGTGTGTTGACAAATATACTATACCTACATAATATATACTATAAATGTCTGTAACCTATTGTTTTTAAAGGGCATAATTTATATAAGTTTTGTTTATGGACCAAGAAACTTACATCACAAAAACAGCACACTGAATATCGAAATTAGAAAAAAAATAAATAGATATTGTACAAAACGTAATATGAGAGAAGTAAAATATTTTTAAAAAAAGATAAATCAAACCTAAATATATTTTAGAATTGAGTTAGATATTGTAGATTCATATTGTACTGAAAAAAAAAAAAATTTACATAATTTATCTTGTGAAAAAAATGGCTTCATGATTTCATATCAGTACATCTGAATTAATTATTAACTAGGCACTAATATTAGAAATACAACAAAATTTTAAATGATATTTATTGTTAATTTTCTTATATTATTGTGGCTTAGTTTATGTGCTTTCAGTCAAACGTTTCTGGAGAATAGATAGACAAAGACTTTAGGCAGATTATTTTCCTATTTTAGATGGTATAACATGGATAAGGGCGGTTCAATTTAGAAATATTTGTTAGGAGCATGAACGTATCTTCTATCATTTCTCCTTGAATCTAAAAAGATATTAGAAATTTTTAAAGAACTGGAGAATGGGATATGTTGGGTTTTCCAAACAAGGTGGCATTGTTTTCCATCGTAATCCCTCCCAAGATATTTTTAAATGGCTTAGCTCGAAATTCAAAGTTATAAATGTCTAATGAACTGACGATTAATATCAAGAATTTGATCTTCAATACTTTTATTATGACATATCAGATCTTAAAAAGTTATTATATTAATATTTTATGGCCATTGTTAACTAGGTTTATTATTTCAATGAATTCTTAGCTTTTGCACCTTTCTTATTTTTTCGTTGGAATCAAAGCTGATCTCTTTTTTTGAAAATCAACTCGTACTTAAATTATGTTAATGTAATGAAGCACTTACCTGTAATGCAAAAAAAAATTTGTGGTTTAAATCGGACCAGATAAATTCAAACTCTGTTTAAAAGAAAAAACAAAAGATAAGTGGTTTAAATCCGACCAGATCAATTATTGGTCAGGTGTAAGTCGAATCAAATATTTATGACCAATAAAAGACAGTTTTAATCTACCGAAGATCAATGAATGTGCAAAGGCTATGAACAAACAAATTGTTTCAATGGCATTTAGTAATTGAACTGGAATAAACAGATCACAATTCTATGGCATACAATTACTGCTTATTACTGAGTGACGTTTCGACGAGGCTTGCTTGATAAACACGAGAAAACCCTAGTTGCAACGTCGCTCAGTAATAAGCAGTTATTGTATTCCAGAAAATTGTGACCTGTTTATGAACAAATAGTTGATATTTATTTCAAGTTATAAAACCCCAACTCAACCTTATTATTACTCGTTTTGTTTTTACGATATTTACTCACACCAAAGAGTTTAGATCTCACCTGATATCTAACATATGAGACAAGTATTTATATAGTATTTATTACAGTAGACTAATGTATTTTACAGCGCATTAGGCGCACTTTTTATACTGATTATATCTGGAAGGGGTGAGCCTAATGTGCTGAAAAATACTGTTTTCATTAATTTTAATTGTGTATGAATGATGATTACTGTAAATCAAGGAATTAATGCCACCTGAGATTAATGTTTAATGTAATAATCAATCTGATTAAAACACAGATCCTATTTCGTTTCGTTTTTTATAGTTCAGAATTTCGTTTTACTTGTCTGTACTACACTAGAATCTGGAAGAGTTGTTATCATTGCTGTGTTCTGAATGGTGTTAGGGATTAGCCAATGAAACGGTCTGTTACGGCGAGCTTTAGGCATGTTTTGCACGAAACTGTGGGTAATCCATTAGAAACATCAATGCTGATTTGTTAATCAAATGTCTGACATCATAGGGTTAAAAGCCGCTCGTATGACCTCTGACGCGACCTATCACTACAACTTGTCATATCTTCATAAGTGTTTGTCATCGGAAGTATAAAAATATGAAATGAAATTTAGATCTGTATTTTAATGAGATTGTGTAATAATGTGACCTGCAGAGGTTGACATGCATATATTATTGTTATGTTTCGTTTCACCAATAAAGTTGATTGCCATTAAACAATGGTCACAGAATGTCAACTAAGTTCACTGTGCAGAACTAAGGTTATGTTACGTTACACCAATAAATGATTGCTATTATACATTTGTCTCAGAATGTCAACCAGTGTCAATAGTTTTGATCAGTCCACGGTTAACATTAATTTTTTGCTAGCATTAATTTCTTGTTTTGTAGTAATTGACTGATTTATTTATTTGCGTTTGTTTGTTTTACTGTAGTAAGATAATTAATCTCATTGTATGAAATTAAGGCTTGCCCTTTGACCTGTAGCTGTAATGTAAGAAAAAAAAAATTGTGCTCTTGGGTAATTTGGAATCTGTCCAAAATGTCCAGGTGTATTTATGTGTATATATATATATATATATACTATTGTTGAGCTACCTCTTTTTTGAAACTGATTTCTGTGTGCTAGCTAATTAGATGACGATTAGATTCAAGATTTGCCAGTCATTATTCCGTTTCAATTATTGAGCTTTAATCCGTTTTTCTTACAAGAATATTAAAAGTTAATCTTAAATTGCTTTCAAATTTAGGGTGATGATTAGAAAGATCCTCAGTTATTTACTAAAATACTTAAAGATGCATTATGTAAGATTTAGATAAAGAGCTGGACATTTTTGCTACAATAGTTAAAAAATAATTAAAAATGAATATATTAAAATTTTTTAGTCAGATTACTTTATACTGAGCCAAGTTATGAGTGTTCAAAGTTTTGACAAGATAGTCTTGATTTTCTGGTACAATTGCTACGATAAAAAACAAAGTTTTGATTATCCATTTTAACATTAAATTATTAAATGGCAAAAGTGTTAATTATGGGCTTGTTCATGTGAATAAATGCCTAATTAATAATTTATATAATATTTGAAGCCAGTAAAAAAAACCGCTATAGGAAGATTTAGCTCTTACATAATGGCTCTTTAAGATTAAAATATTTCTGAAAGATAGAAGATAACTATGAGACTATGGGCTTATCTGAAAGACAACGACATTGTCTCGATCGAAAATGGTAGTTTTGAAATAAAAAAAAACAAACACAGTAATTTGCATATAGGTATTCTTACATGGAATATTAAAAATAGGTTAAAGCATTTAGTTGTTATCATTTTATCATCCATACTGTCATTATATCATATTAATTTATTTCAAACTTGAAATTCATCCGTTTAAATACTACCATTTTCATACCACTCAGTTTTAACCAAACAAAGTCTTGCCTTTAAACATTTGTAAGAATTTTATTGTAGTCGTTGATCGAAATCACGTTCATATATACAACTTGAACTTTAACCTTCTGTCATTTTTTATAGTTACGTCGCTGGTCGATTTTGTTTTCGTCAATCAAATTAATTAGTAAAATTTATAAAATCAAACCACTCATTTAGTTTTTTTATTAGTTAGCTGCGTTATCATGTATTTCATAGTTAAATCCACAGGAATTTGTTTATCTTAAACCATAACTTAATAGAAAGAATTCATCGACTTTCTTCCATTATGTTTGCAAGAGTATTGCTGTGTAAATTTGAATAATTAAAATATAGTTGATCCCTTTAGGTATCAAATCTCTTGACACTTAAGTCACAAATTTCCAAATCTCCCTGCTTGTATTCCGTGGAAGTAAAAAAATGACCGTCAAAAGATTTGATCAAAGATTATTGGCGATGGTGGCTTTCTTTGATAAATTTTCAATTCTTCATATCTTTGTAAATACTAAATCGAATTGAACAATTTTTGGATAGATATTCATTTTAGAAATTCAAGTTGATCTGCTTGCTGTTACACTCGACTAAAAATGAATCGATGTCATCGTGTTTTGTGACTTATACCTTCAAAATAAACATAACATTTAATACCAATAGCTGACAAATTATGTGTCTTTAAAAATATATTGTGACGTCATAGCAACATGGTTTCAATAATTTGATGTTATTTGCAATTTTTGAGCCTTGATACCTAAAGGGTTAAACTTGAACGATTGTATGCATTATATATACGCTTAACCCATTGAAGGAGAATTTCTGGTTCAAGACGATCCCCACATGGATAGGGGTTAAATAAATTTCAGAATTGTTTTACTAATAATGCTATAACGTTAGGACTTGGTTTATTATTGGGGGCCAAATAAATGATCGAGGCTTGCCTAGTAAAATGGTTTAAGTTTTAAAGATTAGCTGTGATGCACATAAAATCCACAAGGTTTGACATTAATATTAAAGATAATGTCAAAATAATTCAAATCCAGTAATAAAAATGCATCCATAAAAAATCTTCATTTATAGGTTTTTTTTAATTAGTGTGATATCACATAGAATCATCCAAATAAACTCATCGCAAATCCATTGTCTAAAATAATGTTATCACCAAACTTAGATTTTTTGATGGAAAAAAAAAATTCCAAGAGATTTTTTGACTCTTTGTAAATAGATTATTGTTCTCTGTATCATGCATGTATACGCTTTTCATGTTTCCGTACCAATCATCCGTTTGTTCCTTCATTCATATATGGTACCTTGTAACTTGTACATTATGCAACTTGTGTATATTTTTCACTTCCCATCATCCTCTTTTGTTAGAAGTGGAATCTTCCGGGTTTTGTTTTGGGAGATTCCAATGATATTACGAGGGGGAGTGGCTGGCAGCATGGTATGTAAAACTATTTTTTGCCACTATTAAATTGTTACTGGTTGTTGAATCGAGTGTTGTCATTCATTAAATTATACATATCATTTTAACAATTGTTGCAGTTAATGCTATGTTATATGTTGCTTTACGTGTATTCAGAGTCAAAATATAATATACTAGTTAAATGTTTTGGTCTATAGTCTTATTTCATTTGTGATTTCGTAGATTCATTCATATATGGTACCCCAGTATTTGCCAAATTATGTTGCATTCATTGTATTGGAACTTTTTCACACTGAAAGTTGGCCTAATTTATGATCACATCATTCAAAATATTTTCATTCATTCAAAAAATTCAAATATAGAAAGGTAGAAACAGAAACTCTTATTGAGCTCTTAGCTTGCTATTCCTAATGGAATATTAACTGATCAGAGTCCAATAAGTGTCATTCTACTATTTCCCTTAGTTTTAAAGATATGTTTCCTTGATAGTTGCGATACTAATTACACAAACGTTGATTGGACAATATATATCCAAAATACCTGGAAAAATATCCAAAATTCCTGGAAAAATATATATCTAAAATACCTGGAAAAATATATACTTGTTTACCAAACACAATTTATCTTTCAAGATACTTCAAAGAGAAATTTGTTTGACAACCTACAGATTTTAATAATTTTAAGGGGTCAAACAGATGATCTATTAATGGTCAAGGGAACATATCTTCCAAAATTCAAATTTTTTAGTAGAGTATATATTTTTGTGAATATTCAATCAAAGGCCACAAAAATAATAGAAAATTACCAGAATTTCAAGGATAATTAATTATTTCCTTAGGTAATTTCAAGGATAATTGTTTCCTTGGGTTATTTCAAGGATAATTAATTATTCCCTTGGATAAATTTCAAGGGTAATTAGTTATTTCCTTAGGTAATTTTCAAGGACCAAATTAACATAGAGCATCGCACAACATTCAAGTCTCCATCGAGTAAATAATATGTATAAGTGTACTGCATTAATTTTATTCCGATCTCATTCTGTTAATGAGTTTATTGTTTTCTGTTTTTATTTTCTTGGTTTATTTTCTAATAATTATTTTTATTTAAGGTTAATTTTTTTTTAACAAAATATGATATCATATATATATTGATAGTAATTTATTATTAGTTATGAATTAGTATTTATTATATAAAGAGGCATATTGTTGAAGAAAATATTGAATAATTTCCTTTAATATCATTTGAATAGATTACTTTAATTAAAGGAGATTTGGGTTGATTCCTTTATTCAGCAAAAAAAAAAATACATGAGTAACAAAACATTTCTAATGCGATTTGACTTCCTTTACCCTCCTTACCAATGGCTATGAACCAATGATATAGTGTTTGGCACCAAAATCTTTTGAGGGTAATTCTACCCCTGTCTCACGTTGTTTTTTTTTTTGATATCATTGAGAGTTATTCAACATCTTTTCTTCAGTAAATTGTCCATTTAAGATATTATTTATTATATACTAGTAGCATTCGATTCATTTGATATTTGTGCCCAGTTATTAATTAGGATATTTTTAAAGTTGGACTTTCATTTCTGTAACATAGGGTTCTATCTTGGGCAGTTTATTGACAGGCCAGTAAACAATGCCATCAAATTATGTATTCAGTGAATTGAGATTATGCTAAAAATACACTGGAGCATCAATATAGTGCAGTTTGCCAGAAGTTAAGATTTTGGTCGTCAGCATTGTAGTGAACCTCTGTGGGTTCATTGGATATCGTTGATAGCATTATAGTGAAGCTCTGGAGTACATAGAGGATTCCTTATAATGTGGGTATGCATTTGCAACTTCAGCATTATAATGAAGCCCAAGCATAATCATATTTTCTAACAACAAACTGACAAATAATAATTTAGAGCCCTAGTTTAATGTGAATTATATGTAAGTATTAAACCTTAGAGATATTTGAATTTTTCTAGTCAAGAAAAGCATTGTTGTAATTGAATATTACAGTTAAATATCCCAAGACCTAATTGATTATTTCACAACAGCTTATTATTGTATAAACATTCACCATTTAGAGTATCATTTTTTAGAACTGGCACGTCACATCTTCATTTTAAGATGTAATTTCAAAAGAAACTAGAATATTTAGTAAAACAAATAATTTATACCTAGACTATATTTTTTTTTATTATAAATTAATGGAAAAGACCATGAATGTTCACCAAGTATAATTATGAAATTGAATGTAATGTTAACTAAAACATAATGTTTGAACTGAGTGTAAACTAAAAATATTTTCGTAATTTTAAAAATCAAAATATCTGTTGAATTTTAAAGTCATTGTCATAACTTGACTAATAATTTTCGAATATTGTTCAACAAATGGCTGGCCAAAGTTACGCACCACGCAATAAACGATTTGGTTGTGCTTATATTTATTTTGTTTTGTTCCATTATGAATTATTTCATCATAAAATGATTTTTTCTAACTAAGACATGTTCAATATAATCAGTTTATTCCACCAATTAATTTTGATACCTCAGTTATGGCCTGGTGCCTTTGTTTATGTATAAGCAAATTTTATTGCTCATATTTATGGTTTTAAACATTCAACATAAGTAAGGTTAGCTATGGCTACATTCCATTATTATTATAAGTAGATGGAGACGAATGTAAATATAATGGATATGCAACTTGTCGTACAGTGAATAAATAACCAATGTCATACCGGCGTGTCTTTTGTTGTTTGTTTTACCCCTTGGTTCTAGCACAATGCGGTGGGGTTGGAGGCCGAATGGTTAGCGAGTGCACGCTGTATCATTAGGTCTGTCATTGAGTCAACTGGCGTGGTTTTGATTCCCGGGTTGTTCGTGACAAGGAGTTGGGTCGCCTGTCCAACCTCGTGGGTTTTCTCCGGGTCCTCCGGTTTCCTCTCACTGCTAATGACCCCTACACGCAAGTGAATTATTGAAATAAAATTGAAACTATATGTTAGTCCCAAAATGACCTAGTTTGTGTCCAGTGGGCAATAAACCCCATTTCTCTCTCTCTCTCCCGCTCTAGCACAATGCAGGATCTAATCTCAGCTTGTGTTTTCTTCTTTTTTTTCCACCTTCTTTTGTTGTGGACAGTTTTTTTGCCATCAGAATCAATCATTCATGATGCAACTTGACTTGCTACCAGACTCAACCATTCATGATCACAAGGCCAAGTAATAACATGGATTTAACATTGAAATCAATCAATGTGGAGATGATTAATTGTTTGAATCCTACTATTCCATCTCTCTGTAAACAAGTGATTGTGGGGGAATACACTAGAACAATCATTGGATTTTTAATCTGGGTTGAACATTATTGAAGAAAGTCATGGTAGCTCAGTGAATTAGGCGCCGTCTTACTAACCATGGTCTTGGCCGAGAAAGTACCCCTCTAGATTTTTTAGTGTGGTTTCCCCTTGTAGTGATGTAGATGGGGAGCTGGCAAAGAACAGTATTTAGTCGTATGGATAGGACAAAAAACAGGTCAAGACTAAATAATGAATAAAATATAATGAATCTGTAATGGCTGGACTGCTTTAAAAATTGTATCAAATGGTACAAATGCATTTTCCTAGGGTAGGAAAATTGGAATGGGAGTGACACATCAAGTTGTTTGCGGTCTAGAATGTCATACTTTTGATTCCGCATCTGGACTGAAAATAAATTTCTAATAGTTAAAGACTGGCCTTCATTATTGCACATATAATAATATAAAATCCTTATACGACATTTAGTAATTGAACATATAATATAAAAACAAATTTATATGGAAAACAATCACTGAGTTTATTTCACACTACGTTTCAACAAGTTCCTCGTCCTTCTCAAGTAATTACTTATTGAGAACGACATATAAATTTGTGTTTTTATAATATAATAGAATAAAAGATTACCCTAAACGTCTCAAAATGACCAAAGTATATTGTGTAGACCAAGACCCCATTCCATTGCTCCAGTGGGGCTTGTATAGGAGTCGGTTAGACCATTTGTTGGTTCCTGGGAATTCTATTTAGAAAGTTCTCTTGTGTTTGTCTCTTAGAAGTATTGTTTTGACAGATCACAGTTCACCAACTACAGATGGGATTCAAATGGGGTCATTTAAACAAACTATCAATTTTTATACCAGATGTTTTTCTTACATCACATCCCTATTACCAGGCATTCTATCCACAACATGGGAACCATGGTGGCTCAGTAGGTAGGATACAGACTCACTACACAGGAGGTCCTATGTGCAAAAGTTCCACAAGATTTTTAAGCATTGTTCACCCCATATCAGTTGTGCAGGACAGAGGGTGTGGCAAGGAACAGTGTCTAGTTGTTCAGATGGGACGAAAATGATGGAAATGAAATGGTGTTTAACATCCTACTTTTCTGCACCAACCGGGCTAATAAAGGACAGATATATTATGCCATGCAGTGTGTTATGGGGGAATTTTGCCCGGACACAGGTGCTATATTATGCTCATATTATTTCAAATTCCAACTGTACATTTTATGAACATGCCAACCAACGTATACCCAGGACCTCGTTTTTTTGTCCCATCTGAACAACTAGACACTGTTCCTTGCCACACCCTCTGTTCTGCACAATTGATATGGGGTAAACAATGCTTAAAAACTTGCGGTTGGTGAAGAAAAGTAGGATGTTAAACACCATTTCATTTCCATGACAAGTGTACAGTGTTTCATCTAACAAGTAAGAAGAAGGCTTAATAATAAAAATCCTAAAGGATATCTCTGCCCCACACCAGAAAAAAAATTTGTTTATTTTAAAATCCTCATACAGTCAACAGTTCCAAAAACACACATAAGTATGATTTGAAGAAGAAATAACAAAAACTGATCGTTACTGCTGAATTTATTCTTAAAAGTAACAAAATATAACAAACAAAAATAACAATATTATGTGGTTCATATTATTAAAATTTGACTAAAAGCCTGTTTATAAATATTGTGAGTAACTGGTTGAAGCTTTTTATGATTAATATACGTCTACTGAAAGAGGTAATCAAAGAAGAGATCTTTTATACATGTACTTACACATACAACAATTTCACAGAAAATCTAGAATTTTCTCTGCAATCATCACAAAGTCAAATCTATGGTACAATGATTGATTTTGAGTAACTTGGTTTGGTGTCATAATTTCCAGTGATAAGGCCTAACCCTAGTTCATCAGAGGTTCAGGGTCTTGAATCTTGATAAATAAATACATGTAGCTACCAATGCTTAAACATACATTATGCAAGAGCTAAATCTGCCTATGGCAGATCTTTCTTTAGGCCTGAAATGTTATCTAAATTATTAATTAGACATTAATTAACTTATCCAGACCATAATCAACTCTCGATGTCATCATTGCTAGCCTGCGATGTTTATTGGATTAGGTTCTGATTTGCTGTTCAACTTCCATTCATAATTTAATCATGAGAACTGTCAGCTTTTTATCTAATCTCCCATAATGTATCTTTAAAATCTGTAACTAAATGCTTTTGAGAAGAGGAATCAACTTACTTTTTTGATTGGCATTTAGTAACTGAACATATTAACACAAGGTACAATTTTATGAATACACAATTACTGAGTTTAATACTAAGCTTGATAAATACGAAAACGTCGCTTAGTATGAAACTCAGTAATCAAGTACTTTGGGTTTTTAAATTTGTTTTTTCCCCAAGAAATATGAAGCAAATTTTTAAAAGGCATTTCCATTCCCCAAAGAACTAAAATTCAAATTCATATGGCCATTGCTCAGAAGTTTAAATTTAGAGTAGAATTTATCTCGAAGGTGACTCTTACCCTGTGGTTCATGTAAGATTTCAGACATTCATAAATAAATAACAGACCAATACTGATATTACCAAGAAAATGTGGTTATTATAATCATTAAATCAATAAATAATGTTGTAACATAAATAATATAAATGTGGTTTCACTGATGAAATAAAAAAAAGATTGATAAATTTAATAGCCAAGAAGTTTAATTATGACACTAACAGCTGTATAATGACTAGTTTGGGGTGTTAGCTTGCCATACTAAAACCAATTATTTGAATACTGGTAAATGTTCATAATCTAATTCTGATCAATTTCTACTAATTGAAGGATAAAATTTTGTTAAAATTAGAAATTTTCGGAGATCTCATGAGATGAAAAGCAAAATGTCAAGATTCATTAAAATCGAATGAATAATACAGATTTAAATATGTTCACAATCTTTTTTCACAACGAAACATAACTGACGGAATCTTGTTCATAGATCTTATGGATATAAAGTCACATCATCAAGTTTCATTAAAATCAGATTAAAAATATGGACTCTTATTCCTTCACAAGCAATTGTAGGTGGATTGGCAGGTGGGGGTGACAACTTGTCTGTCACTCCGTCCACTACTGCTGGGTATATTAGGGCGTATATATAAATAATTACTTATTCTAGTCTGCAAAATCAAACATGCTGGAAGTGTACAGTAATCCCTAACTGCTGCGACTAAATACTTATAAGAATATGTGTTATTATGTGTTATTATGTGTTATGTGTTATTATGTGGTTTTATGTGTTATTATGTGGTTTCTAGGATGAAATCTGTAATAAAATTCCAATTTTTTAAAATTATTTTGAAAATTACCCAAATAAATTTAAATCAAACAAATTCTAAAAAACGTGAATTTGTGGAATATATTGATGTATCTGACATAAAAAAAAAATATCCTTTATGGTTTTAAAAAAATTATCTGAACAAAAAATATCCTTTATGGTTTTATAAACATTAGATAAATGTTTTATATGTGGGCGTATAAAAATATCCTTTGTGGTTTTATAAACATTAGCTAAACAAAAAACATTTATGATTTACTTAAATATTTTACATTAATAAACCCTTTAACTCCTCTAAAATTTCAAATTTAGAGTTGTATTGGACAATTCTATGACATTTCTGAATCATAAACTAAATGAACACAAATGTATATAATTAATTGCATTAATCAGACATGTTTTCAGAATATAAGAACACAGAAATAAAATTATAGTTCTCAGACAATCCTTTAAAAAAAATACAATGTTTTTGTTTCACCAAACGGAACATCCGGTTAGCTGACTTAATAGTAACTGTCTTTCATAATTACCATGTCTTTCCACAATAATAATTTACCCTAACTGCGATATACTAACAATTTTGTTTTATGGCCTAAAATATAAATTTTTTTAAGAATCGTACAGACATGAGTTAATGTGTGCACTTTCGATCATAAGATCTGTCATTGAGTTGTGTTGTAGTTTTGATCCCAGGCCTGTAGTAAAATCGACTTGCCAAACATCGTGAATTTCTCTGGCTACTCTGCACTTCTAAAGATCACCAGACACAAGCGATTTATTGAAATTAAATATACAAGTTAGTCGCAAAATGACCGTTGTTAGTTCAGAGTGGCTGTTTAACCCCATTTCGCTTTATAATAATAACAATAATAATGCACTTTTAACATGCTAAACTCCATACACTAAATTTATAGTAATAGCACAACAAAAAGTCTCTCTATCATTCATGCATGTGGGGACTTTGAGAGTTGAAGGCGTTAATTAAGTTTTAATTTATTCTTCTTCAATCTATTTATAATAATACCAGGTACTAGAGCTACACTTGCTACTAGGAATAACTTGATTGCTGTAGTCATAGTAAACATATCATCTAATGATTTTAACTCAGATAACATACATCCTGTCTGAATACATATAAAATTATACGGCATTAATCCTGAAATATAAATAACAATTTTAATAACTGTGATATTGGCATTTAAGTAACATTTAAGTAACATTTTGGAAATATTCTACAAAGGATATAAACACGCCAGCACCAACCCAACCTAATTAAAATACAGATTTATATTTCGTTTCGTTTTTTTACACTTCCGATGGCCTCCACTACATGAAGATCTGACCAATTGTTGTGGAAGGTCACATCAGGGGTCATATGAACATACAAGCGGCTTTTGACCCTATAATGTTGTCTTTGCTGCGAATGTTTACCCACAGTCCGAGCACCGCACGCCAAGAAATTGCCACAACAGACAGTTTAATTGGCTAATCCCTCACATCAACCAGAATGCGGGTTATGTAACGATTCTTTCAGATCCTAGCGTAGTAAAGGCAAGTAAAACAAAATTTTGAACTATGAAAAACAAAACGAAAAGAAATAGAATCACATTGGCACCAACTTTTAAGTGTTGGGTAAAAACTTCTTAATCTGATTGAATCCAAACGGGAGATTATATACCCTTGATATTGCGGCATTGTTTTCTTTGGTACATTTTAGTGGGGATTAATAAGCTGTGAAGTATGAGGAATACGCCCACAGCAGCTAAATCATCCAAGCAGTGGACAAGGGTTGTCGCATGTATATTCTGTTGTACATGTAGTTAATGGGAGCATATACTGATATAAATTTGAGATTCACAAGTTTCTGCACAGTGAAACAAGGGTCATAACTCTAGAAGTAATTAATAAGAGGTGTTGAAATTCGATAGGCTTCATGAATTCGGAGGTGACAACAATATATGACCACATTTCCCTGTGTGCGTATAAATATGCATATGACATAAGAGGCTTTAACTCAATACAGTCCAACTCTATACAGATTAAAATGTTATTGTATTTAGCTCACCTATAAAAACTGAGAAGAAAAACATATACAATGGTATATTGAGCAGCGGGGCGACTATATTCATAAACCAATTGGGTGACATCGGAAAAAATCGTAGAAACAGTAGAAAGAAAAATAAACTCTCCATATTATCTTTAACCTGTAAAATAAAACAAAATAATAATTTATAGATTATCATTCCAAATTATATATGGTTGTCAAAAACAAAAAATTCAAAATCCTCAGTTTCAGACACTATATTTTTGGGTGGCATCTCACATCAAACTTTTGTCAAAGTTTTATATTTATTATATCTATCTTAGATTTACAAGTTTCTTCTTCAGTCCTGGGTCTGTAATGAAACCGACTTCACTCAAAATGAAAACAAAATTACGGTAAAACTCAGAAAAACTAAGCAGAAGAAATAGAGAGAGAGAGAGAGAAGGGGTTTAACGTCCACTCGACACAAGCTAGATCATTTCGGGACTAACATACGGTTTAATTTTATTTCAATAATTCGCTTGCGCGTAGGGGTCTTTAGCAGTGGGAGGAAACCGGAGGACCCGGAGAAAACCCACGAGGTTGGACAGGCGACCCTACTCCTTGCCACGTACAACCGGGGATTCGAAACCACGCCAGTTGACTCAATGACAGACTTTATGATACAGCGCGCGCACGCTAACCATTCAGCCATCCAACCCCCGCAGAAGAAATAATGCTCAGGTCATGACCTAACATTATTGTATGTTTTATAGAACATCAAAAGTGTGATTTCCCCCTGCCTTAATAAATCTCCAAATACATACCATAGTTTGAAAATATTTCAGTTTTTCTGGAAAATATTTAATGATGGTAGCCTTGCCAAATAATTTAGATAGCATAAAGCAAGATGAAGCTCCAATAGCTGTTAATAAACAAACTAACGGAAAACCAATAACTGTTCCAAACAATGCACCACCTAATATATTCTGTAAATAGAAACATGTATTTTAGTCAGGAACTTTTTAATAATATGATGGCCTTAACAACTAAATTAACTGTGGGTGCACCTGATATCTGACCGGATACCACATAGTTTTATTTATCCGAATGGATACAAATATTCAAACAGGTTCCAGATAGTTATGATTATCTGATGGGATACTAGATAGTTAAGTTATCTGTCCGGATACAAGATAGTTATGATTATCCAATGATTCTAGATAACTACGATTATCTGACGGGATACTAGATAGTTGCAGTTATCTAACCTGACAGTTAACCTTGTTCGAACTGATAGTTGAACTTATCTTTGCTAGTTAAACTTATCCCATCTGATAGTTCAACTTATCACATCTGTTGATAGTTAAAGTTATCTCATCTGATAGTTAAAGTTATCACATCTGTTGATAGTTAAAGTTATCTCATCTGATAGTTAAAGTTATCCCATCTGCTGATAGTTAAAGTTATCTCATCTGATAATTAAAGTAATCCCATCTGATAGTTAAACTTATTCGATCTGACAGTATATTTTTCTAGTTAGCTTAAACATGGTATATTATGAATAACCTTTATATCATACCTGTCATTGTAGTTCTGCCTCTAAAATACATTTTTACATTCAGTCAAATTTCAAGATTTACAGCCAGCATTATAAATGTATTTATAGTTTTTTTAGTTTTGTAGATGATTGTGTGCACTGTAGCCTCCTCTTGTGTGCTTTTATACTCAGATTAAGTTTAAATGATTAATTTTCGGATAAATACTTACATTTGATCCTCTCAAAAATATCCATCAGCCGATTGCACCTAGATGTATTGGCTGTCGTGGATGTCCAATATTATTTTTATTTGATTATTGGATTTAGTAAATTCTAATATGTTTAAATAATAAATTAAGCTTACCATAAAAACGGAACCAGGAATAGCAAATGTTTGTTTATATAAATAAGCTGATGAAAATAAAATATAAACAAATGTAAGATGTTGTGTTTTATATTCTTGTAAGATTCTGGCTATACTTGTTAATTCTTCTAGATTGGTTGGAAATTTTAAACTCATTGTTTCACTGAAAAGATTAAATAATGCATGCTATATAATCTACAATCTACAATCATAAATAACCTATCTCTATTTAGTTTTTTTTAGTTATTATATCCTTGGAGAAACATAAATAACAAGTAGGAGCATACTATATTAGGGGTCAGGAACAGAAAATGATGTGCAATTGTCCAAAGAACAAGTATGCCATGTTTCATGTATATTGTACTTGAATTGACGGAGCCCTAGGCTTAATAGAAGAAGAGAGAAAGAAATGGGGTTCAACCTCCACTCGACATAAACTAGGTCATTTTGGGACTAACATATGGTTCAATTTTATTTCAATAATTCGCTTGCACGTAGGGGTCTTTCGCAGTGGCAGGAAACCGGAGGACCCGGAAAAAACCCCACGTGGTTGGACAGGCGACCCTACTCTTTGTCATATACAACCAGGGAATCGAAACCACGCCAGTTGACTCAATGACAGATCTTATGATACAATGCGCACTCGCTAACCATTCAGCCATCAGCCCGCCCCCACCCCCCCACCTCCACCCCCCACCCCCCCGTAGAAGAAGAAGTACAAACCATTACCAAGAACAAAAGTCGGGCTTGTTGACCAGTTCCTGTTCCCCAAAAGAATGATGAAAAGTTATGAATACTAACTTTTTATTGGTTACTTCTGGCATGTTCTGTGACAGACTGAACAGTCCATAGCTAGCAAGAGCAAATATAACTGGCATCCATATAATAGATGGCATCTTGCTTTATTCATTTAATCACACAAAATGTAATTGGGATATTAACTCTATCTTGAATAGATCTACACAGCATATTCATATTCATTCATCCATATAATAGATCCGTTTATATGGGAACAACTCTTCTAAAATAAAGGTTAGAAATCTGAAATAAATCAAGACATTAAGAAAACGTAGGATTAAGAAATAGTAAGCGTGCTAGAAAATGTTCCATCCTGTACAAACGACAAAAACGGACCAGGCTGAATAAAAGCATAAAACTTCTCTGCCAACATCAGGATTGAACCCTGGACATCCTGGTTAGTCATCCAGCATCCTACTCATGGAGCCACCATGGCTTTAAGCCAAAAGAGGACTACAGATAATATAAGCATTCCCGGTACTGTACAGTTTTGGATCTATATGGTGGAATAACACATACAAATTGAAATTTGTAACTTACTTTCCACCAAGTATACATTGGAATGTGTAACTTATTTACTATAAGATATCTATATTTATAGATTGTGTGACATGGTTGTTTATCTTTAGATATGACTAGGGCTAAAGGTCATAGTACATGTATTTTGTAATTAGTAATTAGTATTTGGTAGAGACAATGACTTCAATGAGGCATAAAACTTTTAAAGGCACAGCAAATGCTAGATTGTTTACATGTATCTTAAAAGTTGAAAATATGTTCTAATCTTAATGTAAACAATGGCGCAGATTATTTTTCGTACCATGTGAACAACTAAATGAGCATGCTGTGCCTTGCATCAACAATGACAAGTGGACATATACTAGTCATTGTCCATTGTACTCACACAAATTTATATTTCAGTATGGTTGATAGGTAAATTTATTTAGTACAAACATAAAATATACAACATAATAAATAAAATTATAAATCTTGGGCTCTATATAGAAGTGCAGAGATAACAAAAAAAAGTCTGTAAATGGTCCAATTTACTATGTGGTCTCAATTTATATGGTACAAAATTCTTTAAGGAAATAATTTGGGGGGGACCTTTAATATTTCTAGCTTTGTTCTTCGAGTCCCTTGTTACAAATGGTGCTGAAACGCATTCTGGTACACGATTAATGTAGCAATGGTAAAATGTTTATTTTGTCTTAAATAATGGGTATCAGAAGCCCATTTTTTCATGGTAAGATCACAACATCAATGTTGATTTAAATTAACAAATAATTTGTGTTTTCAGTGTCGAAGACTGTTGATGATATTGAGTTAAAGACTTAGCTACTTTAATTGAGTTATTCTGTAAATCTGGTACCCCCCCCCCCCCACAACACACACATAGTATACAAACTTTTAAATACACCACTGGGGCCAGGGCCGTATTATTAAGGGTGGTCTGACAGGGCTGCAACTAGGAACCTCAATATTTTTGAACCCTCTGGACAAGTAAAATAGGATTTCATGGATAATTTACACAACAGGTAGGACACTAACACATCTAGTACTTAGAATAAGGCTATTTTTTTTATTTTCTGGAGCTGTCAAGCCAGCAAGAGTGTTATTGTCCCTTTAAAGGTTTTGACTATACTATAGCCATATAGTGTAAATTACTGTAATACTAAATACTATGTAGCTACGAGAATGTAGCTAAAAACGTTGAGATATACTGATGTGTTTGTTTTTAGCTACGATTGGATGCCTTTAGTTCTAAGTGGCTAACTCAATTTCTTTATTAATGCATGTAACATCTTTAAAAAAGACAAGTTTATGATATTATGATTAATTAAACTTACAGAGGCGAATGTAGTGGCCCCACTTGTCGCATAACTCCAAATATTTGCGTTTAAATTAATGAAGCGTTGTTTTTGTCTGACATTTCACCGCCATCGAAATCCATTCATATTTACTGTGCTTTCGATTGTCCTTTTGATTGGCTGTTATAAAAGCCTTTTATTTAGCCCTGCCTTCATGATGACAGCGTATCGTTTAAAAAGATGGCGGTCTTAGTATCGGCTTAACGCCTCGATTTTAAAAACGACGATTTGTACCCGTTTCAGGTAGTATTATATGCTTAATTGTAGTTGGGTGTTGTAGAAATATTATAAATAACAATAATCAATCGTTGTTTTGATTAAAACTATTGTCAATTTTGTTTATAAATGCCGGGTGTGAATCGCTCCCGCAGCTGCAACGTTATAGGTCATGGCCTCAGTTCTTAACTCGAAACACCGAGGGTTGAGAGATTACGGTTTGTTATCTAAATACTACGGTGTCCAGGCAGTAAAATGAGTAATGCCAATGAATAAATGGGCAATGGGTTCACTGAAAATTGAAACATATTCTCTTCATTCAATTATGGTTTCTAACTTCTTTATCAAAAATATATGGTTCTTTCTTCCTTTCATGTCTGACACTTATTTCAAGACTTAAAAGACTTTTACCTATGTCTATAGTATTATTAATGCATCCTGTGTCAGCCTATATGATACAAGTCGAAAGTATTGGTCAGTTAGTTTCAGCTGATTTCATCTACTCTCCATGTTAGGAGTTTACGTTTAGTCAGAAACATTAGTCTCTCGAACAACTTCCGACATTGTTAGTATGTTACCCGAGGCGATCGAGTATCACGTAGTCACGTACAGATCTTGATTATATTATTAGCCAAACTACAATAGACTTCACATTTCCGAATTATTTGTTTAATCATAGAAATGTGTTATCTATGGTTTAATGAATGCATTGTTATTTCAACTGCTCTTTATTTTCCCATTTCCAATAATCGAGTGATACACGCGAACCCGCGTACCCGCGAGTAAGACTACGCTAAAAATTCAGTTGGACTTTTAATGTTTTCAATCGAGTTCAACCGCAAGTTATGGCGGGAATCGTCTCCACGTGTTTAGCTGTCAAAATGCGGTGATGATTATTTAAAAACCTGTGCGTAACATATTTCAAATAAGCCCTTTTGAATAACACAGTGAATCGAAGGACACGAATTTTTTTACTTATCTGATTTATGTGTGCCTAGTGTTTGCTAACAAATCAGTTGTCAATGACTCGATTGGCAGGTTGTACTTTGTTTATACAAAAGGCAATGTATAATTAACATCTGACAGAAAAAGACTACAGCTGTACAATAATAACCATACTGTGTGATACAGTTATGTATGTATAATATCATGCATTATGTTTATCGTGGATTTCTGTGTATGGTAGTGACTATTGGTAGTTTCCATTCGGCCAATAGTTTGGCAGTAGTGAAAAACAATGAGAATTAAATTTGGCTTGAATTATTTTTTCAGCCACCCCTTGACCCATGATGTCCAGACTTGCATGTAGCACCAAATAAATTAAACATATGAATTCAATACAATAAATATATATTATAATTTTTTGTGAAATGTGAACTCGACAATTTAAAAGTGTGGTGAATTCAAGTACTCCAATAGTATTTGTATTTTGTTAGTTACAATGTATAATAGTGTATATGCAGAAATTATACATATGTTAAAATACAAAGTTCTAATGGCTTTATCATGGCTCTAAAATATTTATATCTAAAAATGGTCCTAACACTACCAAATAACAATCTCAGACAATCACTTTTAACATGGAATAAACATGGACAGTGTGATAAAAACAAGATAAGAAGAACTCTGAAAATATTTGATGCATGCTTATCATACCCAGTCACCACCAGCCGGCTTTCTGGTTCGGATTTTCAACCTATTTATTTATCATTGCCAACAACCATATTCGGTCGCCAATTTACCAAAAATGTAGAAATCCAGGAAGAAGAAGTGTTGACCACTCCAATGATACAGAAGTATTTAGTTGAAAAGGGTATGAAATTTGAACAGGGGCATGCATGTTTTGTAACAATGTGTCCCAAAGTAGCTAAAATGAAACAGATAAAGAATACAGATTCTGAACGACTTTTCATAAACATGACTACTGGTCATTTTGTGTGTCATTTTTGTGGTAAAATTGGTAGTTGGAATAATCTTGTGGATAATGTTTTGTATTTGATGGAAAACAAAAGAAAAAAATCAGTGGAGTGTTTTCATTCAATAGAATCGGTTCAAAGCATAAATGATGAACCGTCTGTTGTGACCACTGGTTGGAAAAGCACAGTTCCATTTAATTCTCTTCCATCTAACGACAGACAGGAGATAGTTCAGGATTTCGATTACAGTAAAATCCAATTATCAACTTTTGAGAAGTATCAAGTGCAATATGACTCTACCACCAGAACAATGGTGTTTCCATATCACAACATTAATAATCTGCGGGTTGGACTGAAAAAGATAACTTGTAAGAAAGAAGACAATGAATTTGATGTGATCACCATTTCTCTTAAAGAATCATTTCTGCCAAGGACATCACCTAGAGGCTTGTTTGGTTGGAATATGATTAATGATGACACAAGTGAAATAGTTTTAACTAATAGTGAGGTAGATGCCATGGCTGTCTTTCAAGATACCAAAATTGCAGCCTTGGCATTACCTAAAGGGTACAATGTTTTACCTCAAGAAATATTACCTTGTTTGGAAAGGTTTAAACGGATAATTATATGGTTTGGTGAAGATATACGGGCATGGGAAGCAGCCAAACAATTTGCTAAAAAGTTAAACAATAAAAGGTGTTATATTATAAGACCAAGTGCTGATGATCCTGGTCCCTACAAGGCCCTGAAACAGGGAATTAAACTGCTACATATATTAAGCAAAGGTAAACCAATGAACCACAAGTCTATAACAGTATTCTCTCAGCTGAGACAAGAAGTTTTTTCTGAACTAGCACATATAGATCAAGTATCTGGAGTCAAATGGAAACGTTATACTGCTCTCAATAAGATACTTAAAGGACATCGCCGTGGAGAGTTGACTGTATTTACTGGATCAACGGGATCAGGAAAGACAACTTTCATCAGTGATTACTCGTTGGATTTAGCAATACAAGGTGTAAATACATTGTGGGGGAGTTTTGAGATAAGTAATATCAGACTAACAAAGATGCTACTTACCCAGTTTGCCCAGATGAACTTGTCTAAGAATTTAGATCAGTTTGACTATTGGGCAAATAAAATAGAGGAACTGCCCATGTATTTCATGACCTTTCATGGACATGAAAGCATCAAGAGAGTTATTGACACTATGGGCCATGCTGTGTACGTGCATGACATTGCACATGTGGTTGTGGATAATCTTCAGTTCATGATGGGATCTCAGGGAGACTATGCAGATAGATTTAACAAGCAGGACCAGATAGTAGCTGCATTTAGAAAGTTTGCTACGCAGATGAACTGCCATGTTACTCTAGTGATACATCCACGAAAAGAGAAAGATTCTGAGGAACTTACAACTGCTTCAGTGTTTGGCAGTGCAAAAGCCACACAAGAAGCTGACAATGTTTTGATTCTACAAGATAAACGAATGATGTCTCTTCGTGGGAGAAAATATCTGCAGATTACTAAAAACAGATTTGATGGAGAACTTGGAGTAATGGTGTTGAAGTTTGATCCTGAATCGCTTACTTTTTCTGTTAATGAGAAACAGAAAAAGGGTGAACAAAAAGAAATAACTGAAAAACCTGATGATACAAATGTTATTGTATGACTTCAGTCAGTGCAATAAAGTGATAAATTTAGTTTTAAAAACCATGTATTTTATTAGAAATATTATTTTTGTAACAACATAGAAATAAAAAATGATGAAAAGGTTTTAATATTTATTTTAATAGATGGTAATCTTATGTTAATGGGGATTCTTTATGTCAAGTATTAGTTACCTACTGCAGTATTAGTGATAACATTCATTGAAAATAGCATACCAATTAAAGCAGGATTCAAAGAGACTGGCTTCACGTCAATAGAGCCATAGGCGTAGGAGCCGGGGGGGGGGGGGGGCAGCCAAAAATTTATTTTCGGGCAATAGGGTTGAAGGAAGACATCCCCACTCCAAAGATCAATTATTTTTTTAATCTACTTTACATATCGTCGGTGAAGTGTCAAAAGGGTGTATCTAAGAATTTCTAAAGATTAAGAAATAGAACCTTTTGCATTTCAAAATTTCCACAAATCAAGATACAACATTTGGACACATGATACCCAGAACAGTTCTAATTGGCGTAGAGATACACAGCTTAGACAGAAATGTGCATATTAATTGAGAGTTTAAAAATTCAAAAAAGTGTATTTGACTAATTTCCCGAGATACACCCTTTTGACACTTCACCAACGATATGTAGAAACAAAATAACTTTTTTTTTCCATATTAATGAATTAATCTTTCACAGCTTTGGCTTGTGGATAATAGTAATCATAAGGGTCAACATCTTTGGTCAGCCAACAAAACACAGTACTTTCCACCAAATTTAAGAAGTAATTCAGCAGGATAACAGGGTAAGTGGTTTGTAAGGAACACAGTATAGTATTCAATTACAATATTTTTGTTGAAACCAGAGGCGTATTGGGGGGGGGGGGTCCGCAACCCTAACCCCTAACCCTAACCCATTTTTGAAAACACCTAAAAAATATAAACAAACACCATGTGGCCATGCTGTCTACCAAGACACCGCGTGCAAAAGCATTATGGTTACGTTGCTGGCTGAGCAGGCGATAAATATTTGGTTTAGGCGGTTATGTTTTGGGGTACCTACATGCGATTCACTCTGATAAGTGGCAGAAAAAAATTAACAAAATATTACTGACAGGCTAACTAGACACAATTTTATGGAACACAGGTACTTTTCACTTCACACGTTTCCAGGATGATTATCTCTGTGTTTTATTTTAACAGTATAAACCATATTGGGATATGTACAGGTTTTATACAGATAGAATCTTAACTAATCCTAATAATTGTTGTAAATAAATAGGAGTTTGGGCCTACTATGTAAATTTGGGGGGGGGGGGTCCAAGTATATTCAGACCCCCCCCCCCCCCCATGTGTGACGCCCATTGTTGAAACACACTGGAATTAGCAGAGGCATATATCTATAAAGACCCATGTTCCCAATTCTGTTTCATCATTGCATTGTTGATGTTATATGTACATGTATTTCATTTCATCGCACAAGCATTAAAGAGGAATACCATGGCATTTTGGAATGGTCTAAGTTTCAAAATCTTAATCTTAATAATTTTATGGTCGAGTTTCCATACATATAAATTCGCTTTTTATTTTACTCCTGTATAGTCTACCATAGTAATTCTAGGACTTACTTCCCTTTAATATTTTGCTTGAATAACCAGAGATAAAATAACGTTCAAAGTTCACGGTCTTGATAGAGCCAAAGTCCAAAATTTGTTGGATGTTTTCTTCCTTCCGTAGAAAAAAAACCTGCTTATGTCATTCCCAAAATTTGGTTGTATCGTGTAGCTGAATACCTCACAATGGTTGATTATAGAATTGTCAAATCTATTGCTGTTCTGGAAGTCAATAATCCCCCGGTTAATGCACTAAGGTAAGACACTACTGAGTATCTACAGTGGCCGTGGTAGTTTTTATTAAAAAATAAAATCAATTTGTCCATTATTGCTGGTTTTTGTCTTTGAATCACCATGTGATTATCATGTTTCCAAAAGTGTTTGTCAGGAGGCTGTCAATTACTTAGGACTGTCTAGCCCTTTGAATGTTTTAAATTGAAAACTGAGCAGGGGCATGGTGACTCATGATTTTGCATGAGAAACTATGTCCCGCCGGTATGTGTGTAGTGGGGTGGGGTGTCAGTCCTTTCAGTGCCGGGGGGGGGGGGGGTGGTGGATGGCTGAATGGTTAGCGTGCGCGCTCTGTATCATAAAGCCTGTCATTGAGTCAACTGGCGTGGTTTCGAATCCCCAGTTGTACGTGGCAAGGAGTAGGGTCGCCTGTCCAACCTCGTGGTTTTTCTCCAGGTCCTCCGGTTTCCTCCCACTGCTAAAGACCCCTACGCGCAAGCGAATTCTTGAAATAAAATTAAAAACCATATGTTAGTCCCGAAATATCCTAGTTTGTGTCGAGTTGACGTTAAACCCCATTTCTCTCTCTCTCCTTTCAGTGCCACCGGGTAATATTGGGCAGTGTGGAACATGCTAAAGTCGATTTGTAGCATATCTGACCCACGGTATGTTTGACACTGCAAAAACTCAAAACCATGACGCAAAGCTCGTCACTGCATGCCTCTCACTTAAGCCCTTGAAACCGATGTCATGTGTACAAGTTGATTTCATGTTGGTCACGGTTGAGTGCGCTTGTAAAAGAAACCTTGACAGTTGGAATTCAGATGCTCTCTGGGTAAAATTTCACTTATAGCACATTGGTGACGTAGGCCTGTTTTCGTTAGGTGCTGAAAAGTATGATGTTAAACCCCATTTCAATCAATATTCATTTAAGCTCTTAATTCTCTTCCAACCTTGTGGGTTTTCTCCGGGGCCTCAGGTTTACCCCCATTGCTAAAGACCCCTACGCGCAAGCGAATTCTTGAAATAAAATTAAAAACCATATGTTAGTCCCGAAATATCCTAGTTTGTGTCGAGTTGACGTTAAACCCCATTTCTCTCTCTCTCCTTTCAGTGCCACCGGGTAATATTGGGCAGTGTGGAACATGCTAAAGTCGATTTGTAGCATATCTGACCCACGGTATGTTTGACACTGCAAAAACTCAAAACCATGACGCAAAGCTCGTCACTGCATGCCTCTCACTTAAGCCCTTGAAACCGATGTCATGTGTACAAGTTGATTTCACGTTGGTCACGGTTGAGTGCGCTTGTAAAAGAAACCTTGACAGTTGGAATTCAGATGCTCTCTGGGTAAAATTTCACTTATAGCACATTGGTGACGTAGGCCTGTTTTCGTTAGGTGCTGAAAAGTATGATGTTAAACCCCATTTCAATCAATATTCATTTAAGCTCTTAATTCTCTTCCAACCTTGTGGGTTTTCTCCGGGGCCTCAGGTTTACCCCCATTGCTAAAGACCCCTACGCGCAAGCGAGTTATTGAAATAAAAAATTAAAACCATATGTTAGTCCCGAAATGACCTAGTTTGTGTCGAGTGGATGTTAAACCCCATTTCTCTCTCTCTCTCTCTCTCTCTCTCTCTCTCTCTATCTCAATCCTCTGCATGAACATATCCCTGAACAAACTTGATGTTTTGTTTATTACAGTTATAATGTGAGAAAGGGATTGCAAGATGGTGTTGAAAGAGCCAATAAAGATAAAGAGGTTAAATCAATTATAATTATTGGTAAAGGAAGAACATTTCCTTCTGGAGCTGACATTACAGAGTTCAATAAGCCTATGAAAGGTAAGTATACATGGCTATGTAGAGTACAGTACTATGAATTATTTGCGAAATAAATTGGGTTTTAAGTTTTAACGTCCTACTTTTCTGAGCAACTGGGCTAATGAAGACCGGCATACGCAATGCAGTGTGTTATGAGGGACATTTTACCCAGACAGGGGTGCTACAACCAACTCTTATTTCGAATTTCAACTGTCAAGGTTTCTTTTATGTCTAAATTGTCATGAGGATTTGGGGATTCTGGATTACCCAAAAATGTTATAGGATTAAACAGTGTCAATGCTTTGCACATTTTTTTTTTGGATGTTATTCCAATAAAGGTAGGAGAAAAACAGTATGCACCTCGGCAGCTTGGTTTCATCTTGTCAGATGTGCATGACAGAGTGCCTGCCAACGACAGCTGTCTAGTCATTCGGATGGTACGAAAAAACAAGGTCCTGTGTACACATTGGCGTGCACATAAAAGATCTTTTGGTAGTTGGAATTTGATATAAGAGTAGGCCTTAGTGCCGCTGTCCGAGAAAAATTTCCCTCATAGCACACTGTATGGCATATGTCCATCCTCATTGGCCCAGTCGGAGCAAAACAGTAGGATGTTAAACCTCATTTCATTTCCTGGGGAGCTGCTGACATAATTAGCATAAAATATGCACTAAATATATCTGATATATTTTGAAAGAGGTAAGATTTTGAAAGAAAATTTATAGGGCAGAGAGTCTTACATATTATTACTGTCGAGCCTGAAATCAGGCAAAGAGTCTTACATATTATTACTGTCGAGCCTGAAATCAGGCAAAGAGTCTTACATATTATTACTGTTGAGCCTGAAATCACTAGTGAAATATCTCAAATTCTCCAAATTCACTAATACCTCTTTAAGACATCAGAACTATGATTCTTTGTAGATTTTGTCATTTTTTGGGGGTATTATCTCTCGTTTAAGGACCCAATTTAGTTGAAGTTGGACTACTAATTGAAAGCAGTAGAAAACCTGTTATTTCTGCCATTCATGGAACATGTTTGGGTGGTGGTTTGGAAGTAGCACTGTTCAGCCATTACAGAATTGCCTTAGAATCAGCCAAGTGAGTAGACTTTTTCAGGCCAGTGGAAGCCATTTTGACCCAAATCCAACATCTCTATGATAAAATCAACATTTGTTTTGTGAAGGCATATTGTGATATATAATTAAACATCTGGTCGTATGTAATTGTATATCACCCCTGTCTGTCTGTCCATCCCTCTGTAGGTTGTAAACCCTGTTGGAGGCAGACCAACATTTTAATTCTGGCGTCTTTGCTTGGATCCGAATTTTTACAAAATTTTCGTTTTTCACCACAGACAGAGCAACAAATGGCTATGTCTTTGCTCTAAAGTTTTTATGATGTTGACCACTGAAATTTTGAGATACTCAAATTTGAAGAAGCATATTAAAAACATATGACTATCCGCTGTACATTTAACCTTAACCGTAACTAACCTTTTAACATTTCTTAAAAATCAATACCCTTCTTAAACACGAATACCCTTCTTAAACACGAATACCATTCTTAAACATGAATACCTTTCTTAAACATGAATACCGTTCTTAAACACGAATACCATTCTTAAACATGAATACCTTTCTTAAACATAAATACCTTTCCTAAACATAAATACCTTTCTTAAACGTGAATACCTTTCTTAAACGTGAATACCTTTCTTATAAATGTATCCGTTTCTTAAAAATGTCTCCATTTCTTTAAGATGAATACCCTTCTTAAACATGTATACCTTTCTTAAAAATGAATACCTTTCCGGAAAATGTATCTATTTCTTTAAGATGAATATTCATTTTAATGAATATTCATCTTAAAGAAATAGTTAAAACTATTTAGTAATAACAATTAATCCAATCAAATGAAAGTTTACAATACAAATAAATGTCTCCAAATAAATTTCTCCATCATTGCTGTAGATTAACTAATAAGTTAAAACAGAAAGAATAACAATCCACATTTTTTCTCATCTCGAAAGAAAAACTTACAAGTTATGACTATTAAATTAAAATTAAGAATATCTCTTAAACATGCATTATGCAAGAGCTAAATCTGCCTATTGCAGGTCTTGCTTTAGGCCTGAAATGTTATATAAATTATTAATTAGACATTAATTAACTTACCATAATGCCATAATCAACTCTCGATGCCATCAGATGACTGCGATATAAGTAGATTTAAATAAGTTTTGTGGTCGATGCGGTTATTGTAAAAATGGATAGAATTGTTTATTATCGTAAAAACGGTAGTAATGACAATTGAGACTTGGCTATACATGTAATAGTATCGCTAATATCTATGCTCAGAGTGAACAAGTAAATTGACTGAAATTTTCAGCATATTCTCTTTTCCTTACCTATTTTTTTAACTATTATAGAGAGAACTGTCAGCTCTTTATCTAATCTTACCTAATGCCACTTTAATGAAGGGCTGAAATGTGTTCCATACATTTATGGAGTTCGAGATATTAAAATCAAAATATATGTTGACTTTGAGGTTCTTTAGAAATGATGTATTTCCTTCTTCTAGAGTGGGATTTCCAGAAGTAGCAATAGGTCTTTTACCAGGAGCACATGGAACTCAAAGACTACCAAGAGTTGCAGGAATGGCTTTTGCTATGGAGATAATCACATCTGGTCGCCATGTTTCAGCTCGCGAAGCACTGCAGCATAGGATCCTGGACAAGGTATGATTTAAACACAGGCCCAGACTGACCTAAATTTTAAAAAAGTAATCAATGGGTCCCAAATATTTGGGTCTGAAACAATTTCAAATTGGAAAGTTTTTTTAAATACAAGGTAATAAATGTATTAGAAATCTAAAATGTAAAATTTATTTAATCATATTCTGTTTTAGCTTGTGAAAGGAAATTTACTATCAGAAAGTTTAGATTTTGCTGCCTCTCTGCCATCTTCGATACCACATCACAGACGACTACGAAATGTTCCAGCTAAAGGTGGTGAAAATGCTGACAAAATCTTTGAAGGTGAGTTTATTTCCTTGGAAATTGACCATGACTTGACTTTAGCAAAATAAACAAGGAAATCAACCATAATTAGGAACAGTTATGCAGCTCAATTGCCATCATAAATTCAGTAAAAGTTTTTATTGTTAAATACCTGTTAACATTCTGAATTTTTATTCTAGTGGCATTAAACAAAGTCAAACAGAAACAGAGTGGATTTATTGCACCAATTGTAAGTACGGTACTGTATTAATAATAGGAGAATTGGGTTTTAAAGAAAGCTTCAACAGTGCTTATAATGGGTAAATGTACTCTGGTTCCAAAACTTGTGTGGATGTTCTGGATATAGCAGTTGTATGCAGGGAGGGGCATCCAATCAAAGAATGAAATTAATATGTTTTTTTTTTTTTAAATTTGAAATTATTGCTGTTAACATTGTTGTACAAGCTACTTAATTTGAATAAAAAGTTTATTTTCCAAGAAATTTATTTTTGGAATTTTGTAGTGGGAATATCTGACTAACAGGTATTCAAACCAATGAAAAGTATTGTTAAAAGTATTTGTGGGAATTTTCTTTTATATATAAACACTGTATTATTTGTGTTAATTATTTCAGAATTGTTTAAAATCGGTAAAAGCTGCTCTGCTTCCCTATGAAGAAGGTACTAAAATAGAGCGGGAATTATTTTCTGAACTGATGACTTCTGGTCAGGCCAAAGCACAACAGTATGTGTTCTTCGCAGAAAGAGCTGCAACAAGGGTATGATTTTAAAGATTTTAATGCCTAAAAGTCACAGTCTCGAAGAATTTGGTGTAATGACCTGAGATCATAGTTTTAGAAGCCACCATTTACTTACTCATTGTAAAGGTGACATAAACTTCAGCTAAAATTCAACCAAAGCTTCTGCAGACAAAATGTTGCTCAGCCAACACAATTGTTGCTATTTCGTCCGTACATTCCGGACATGTCCTACACTATTTTCCAAACGTCTGATATTTGAATACCATACGGGAATTAAATATGGAAAATGGCGAGGTTCACCTATTTTTATTACATACAAATTTGAATATTTTGTTGACACATGATTTTTAATTATTGTCAGACACTGTCTGCTTTAATAATGATGAGTTTTGCCCCTTTATCTTTGGTAAAAATGTCTGACAATAAAAATTTTGAAATAGCAACACTGCCCAATACATTGCTGAATTACAGGACTATGTGTCAAAGGTCAAGAATGACATCCGATTTGACCTCTGTTTAACATTTTTGTTGCTTTTTTTCAACAGTGGTATGTATCAAATGAGAAAAATCATAAGAACTGTTCAGCAGTACCAGTTAAAACTACTGGTGTTATTGGTGCTGGTACGATGGGTAGTGGTATTGTTGTTACATTACTTAGAGTTGGATTACCGGTTATACTGGTAGAACAAGACTCACAGGTAATTATCAACCATCTTTGTTAGACTTAAAATGACTTTATTTTCTGTTGAATGGATTGCTATTTCTGCCAAAATTGTACCCTTTTAATACATTTTGTCAGGTAAGGTTCTTGTACCCTTGAGAATGACATCATCACAGCCATCTTGAAATTGTGATATTGACAGTATATGAATTGTTGGAGCCTTTGACTTTTTTCTAAGAGAGGCATGTACAAGAAACCAGTTCCTGGTCCAAAAATCTCTAAAACATTTCAAGAGCAATCTGCATCTGTCATGCCCACCACCAAAATTTACTATTTTTATTTGCCCATATTGAATTGTGGTTGTATATTTTCATCAACAATTTCTTGTGAATGCTCTCTAGAGGCTAAAATTCATACACAGTGTTTATGGTTTTTTATGCGACGATGATTCCTATTGATTTTCGATAAAACTGTTAGATTTATGGTCCTTTATATATTTAATATTTATTTTTCTCAACTTTATGATGTTTATATATTTAATATTTATCTCTCTGTATTTTATAATGTTTATATATCTGATATTTATCTTTAATAACACGTTTGTAATATTTATATATTTGTTAGAATCTAGAGAGGGGTGTGAATATAATTAAAGGGATATTACAAGGTAGTGTTAATTTAAAGAGAATGACAAGTCAACAAATTAACAAATGTTTACAGCAGTTAACACCAACTCAAAGTCTAGATAGTTTACATAATGTAGATTTGGTAAGTTCAAAACCTCTTTGTCAGCCACGGTGACTCAATGAGTATCACAGTGACTTGATGAGTATCACAGTGACTTGATGAGTATCACAGTGACTTGATGAGTATCACAGTGACTCATCAGTGACCATGAGGGCTTGGTTTCAATCTCGATGTTGTGATTTTCTGCTATGGACTTCCCCTTGTCATGGGGGGTTGGATGGCCGAATGGTTAGCATGTGCATGCTTTATCATAAGGCCTGTCATTGAGTCAACTGGCGTGGTTTCCAACTTTGTGGGTTTTCTCCGGGTCCTCTGGTTTCCTCCACTGCTAAAGATCCCTATGCTCAAGCGAATTATTGAAATGAAATTAATCCATTGAAATGACCTAGTTTGTGTCGAGTAGACGTTAAACCCCATCTCTCTCTCTCTCTCTCTCTCTCTCTCTCCCCTTGTCATTGGTCCACTAGGTAGAGAGTACAAAAACAGAAGTCCACCCATGAATGCTGCTGAACTACATGGCCCACGGCATCCTGCATATTATTTTCACATCATTGTTGGGTGGCCATGCTAGATGCTTGAACTGTAAGGGTAACTGTAACTGTCATCCACTATGTAACTGCCATCCACAGTTTATAAACCAAGTATCAGACATGCCAGAAACTTGAACTATTAGGGTAACTGTCATCCACGGTTCATAAACCAAGCATCACATAAGTCAGAAATTTGAACTATTATGGTTAACTGCCATCCACGGTTTATAAACCAAGTATCAGACATGCCAGGGACTTGAACTATAAGAGTAACTGTCACCCACTGTTAATAAACCAAGTATCAGACATGCCAGGAGCTTGAACTATTAGTGTAACTCTCATCCACTGTTAATAAACCAAGTATCAGACATGCCAGTAGCTTGAACTATAAGTGTAACTGTCACCCACTGTTAATAAACCAAGTATCAGACATGCCAGTAGCTTGAACTATAAGTGTAACTGTCACCCACTGTTAATAAACCAAGTAAGAGACATGCCAGTAGCTTGAACTATAAGTGTAACTGTCACCCACTGTTAATAAACCAAGTATCAGACATGCCAGTAGCTTGAACTATTAGTGTAACTGTCACCCACTCTTAATAAACCAAGTATCAGACATGCCAGTAGCTTGAATTATTAGGGTAACTGTCACCCACTGTTAATAAATGAAGCATCACATATGCCAGAGGCTTGAACTATAAGATAAACTGTCATCCACTGTTCATACATGAAGCATCACTAGTGCTCCTACGGTTAGGACTTTTTGTTATTCGAATAGCTGTAGCTATTAACCGGTTACCAACCGTATGGTATCAATTTTAAACATAAAACAGAGCTTGTCAGGAGGTGCGAGTCATTACTCATGCGCACGCTATACTCGCCTAAAAGGCATTACACGCGCAAAAATTTCAGGAATTTTTTCAGACATGTACAATTCTTTAATGAAAATTTAAACTATCTTAGGCCGTAGTTATTTATTTACCTGGGTAACTTGGTTCATTTGAAACATTTTTATACTCCCACATTTTCATGTGGACGTATTATGCCGTCGCCCCTGGACTCTCTACAAGTCACAATTCTTATCCGATTTTGACGAAACTTGAAATATAGGTTTATCCCCAAAAGATCTCGGCTGCTTTCGATATTGGCATGTATCGGATCGAAACTTCATGGATTATGGCCCCTGATTGTACGAAAAATCACGTTTTTAGCTTGTGGACCCTATAGAGGCCACAATTTTTATCCGATTTTTTTGAAACTTAAAATATAAGTTTATAACCCAAAGATCTCAGTTCCTTTCGATATTCGCGCATATTGGACCGTAACTTCCTGAATTATGGCCCCTGATTGTACGAAAAATCGCGTTTTTAGCTTGTGGACCTTATAGAGGTCATAATTTTTATCCGATTTAAAAAAACGTATTATTATATCACCGTTACACCCTAAGGAGGGTTGAGTTAGAATTTCGTGAAAATCGGCCCAAAATTGACAGACAAAATGGCTGCCGTTCGTTCTCAAATAGCGTAAAAATATGGTATATCAAGGTTGTGGAACCTATAAAGGGCACAATTTTTATCCGATTTTGTTGAAACTTGAAATGTAAGTTTATAACACAAAGATCTCAGTTTCTTTCGATATTTGCACATATCGAATTGTAATTTCCTGAATTATGGCCCTTAATTGTAGGAAAAATCACTTTCTTGTTAGCTTGTTCTCTATCCATCTCTCGAAAATGTGGGCGTATCCTGCCTGGCAGCCGCTGGTTTAATTCAATATAACGATAATATACAAAACAATACTCTGTTTCCCTTCGTACGTGACAGATGGCGATAATATTACGATTACACAATGTTACTAAGAATACAATAAAGTAAATTGGAAGGCGTCTATTGATTGGACAATAAAGAAATAATTCCTCGCTTGCAAGTAGAATTTTTATGATTGGTTAATTTAACTAAAAACCAAAGTAGAATTCTTGCGAGAAATTACGAGATATGAAACGTGTTGAATGTCGTAAGGAATCTAGTATAATGTCATTTTCTAGCCTTTATGATTATATTTTGAATGGTGGTTACGTTTTTAAGTAAATAATAAACAAGGTAGAATATAGTTAGAAATGCTGAGAAGTATTTAGATTGGATTAACAATAGCTAAAGTCAGAACACGGTCTGTTGACTTTGCCGTATGACTACGACGAGTGCTATTAATAGTATTATTTTTTAGCAGTCAACATCGTAGGACGACTGTTATATTCTAAGATTTTCAAACATCAAATACAAAATGACAACGGGCAAGTTTTGTTATAAAGAGGAATATAATCAGACACAACTCTGTGTAATGGGGGACATCTCCGAATAACCGTACCGTTGAATCTGAACCGTTTAACCGTCCAGTTCTAACCGTTTACGGCTATCCGACTAGTCGTAGGAGCACTAAGCATCACATATGGCCGACGCTTGAACTATAAGATAAACTGTAATCCACTGTTCATACATGAAGGGTATAAGGGTAACTGTCATCAACTGCAAGCAGTCTCAATGCCACGTGCTTGAACTATATGGGTAACTGTTATCAACTATGCAAAAAGCATTTGCTATAATAGTCTTGATCCATTGACTTTCTTAGATCTTAATGTATTCACCTACAATTATGTGTTTAAAGAGTACAAAGAATAGCTGTTATAGAACTTGAACAGGGTTTTGATTACACACAGTGATTGACAGTTCCCCTCAGTTGTGGTTGCCAGGCTTTAGACTTAAAAACTGTGATGTTTCTTTGTTTCAGGTTATTGAAGCTGTGTTTGAAAACTTGAAATTGAAAGAAGAAATCTTTGGTAAATTAGATCAGATTTGTAAACAACAAGCTATTTTATGTAGTAACACATCTACATTAGATATAGATAAGGTAGTTATTATTCTATGAGTAGTTAACATTGAGATTTCTCTTCCTTTCATCCCGAAATAAGGACTGAAAGTGTTCTTTAGATAGTGATGGCTCCCAGATCCATTCACTTGATTTGATTCTGAAGTTATAATTTACCAATTTAAAGATGGTAATGCCACTGCCATGGCAAAATTATACATAATGCAGATACTATCATAGAAATAGAAACAACTATAAAGTTTTCATTAGTTTATCATTCCATTTCAGATAGCAAATGCAACAAAGCGACCTGATAAAGTGATAGGAACTCACTTCTTTGCACCTGCGTTTATTATGCCATTATTAGAGAATGTATATGGCGCTAAAACATCTGGAGAAACCATAGCAACAGTCATGAATCTTGGAAAGACGATTAGAAAGGTAACTTTAAATCTTATGATAAAATCTGGTTGAAAAGTCTAGATTTATTAGGATGTATATGGTATATTAAGAACCCAGCGTTCAGATTATCTGTCATCTGGAGAACTTACTTGTTTGTTAATTAATTGCATACCATGTAATTAGAATTCAAAGAATTTAAACGTAAAACACTTTGAATTATATCGAAAACTAGGATGATGCTAAGAATTGTCATGTTCTTTGGAATAAATATCTTGCTAATCTGAACAAAATAATATATAGAAAATTGTCTGGCAGGCAAAATTTTGAAGTGAAAGCCCTAGTTCACATCTAGGGTATTTGATTATGAGTCGAAAATATTTCAAATTTTAAAGATTTGCATACAAGTGACACATGGAGCTGTCACAGTTCTTTAAATTCTGAAAACCTTTTAATAGTAATCATAAAGTAATTGAACAAAATTTTACAATAATATTCATTAATATTGTCTTTGTGAGTAAGGTGTTGGCCGGCAAGTTCATCAGGAATTTGCAGTGTGGTATCCCTTGTCAGTAGTGCAGGACAGAGGGCCTTGCAAGGGACACCATATAGTGTTTGGATGGTACAAAAAACTGAGGTCTTGTGCATGTAAAAGAATCCTTGACAGTTGGATTTCGACGAGAGTAGGCTGAAACACCATTGTCCAGATAAAAATTGCTGTCATAACACACAGCATGGTGTATGGCTGTCTTTATCAACCCTGTTAGTGCAGAAAAGTATGATGTTAAATTTCATTTCATTTTAAAATCAATGAGATTTTTAATATATTATCTTTATTTTAATAAATAGATACCAGTGTTAGTAAAGACTTGTCACGGCTTTGTAGCCAATAGAATGTTAGCTAGATATCAAACCGAGGTGAGATCATTATATTATATTGAATATGTAAGGGCTGGTTTAATTGGCTAACATCTTAATGTGATCATAACCCATGTCCATTGATCCAGCATTGTGTATTTATTGATCAATTAAAACTGTGAGAGTGGGATGGGGGCACTGATTATATGCTCATATTGAAATGTGTCGTCACCCTGTCCAAAATCACTTGTGGATACTCTAGAGCAGGGGTGTCAAACTTATGTTGATTCTGGGGTCACATGAACTAAAATTTTACATCAAGTGGGCCAGAGATATACAAAAATATCAAGATAAAGGCAAACGTCCTTGAACTTTACTGAATTCCAAAAACAAAGCTAAACGTCCTTGATACAGGTAATTTGTTAGACTGGTTTCCAAATTGCGAAGAAATAATACGGAACACAACTTTCTCTTGTATTACATACATATCTATGACATACAGTACAGAAGTCAGAGGTTTACTGAAACCGGAAAACATCAATAAATGATTTCCACTGCTAGTTTCTAAGAATTACCAACACTCAGTTTGTTCAAATTTGTTCCACGAGCCACATTTAAACCCATGGCGGCCGGAGCTGGCCCGCGGGGCACATGTTTGACACCCCTGCTTTAGAGGCTAAAGTTCTCATCCATTAATTTCCGATAATTACTGTCAGATTTATTGACCTTGATCACATAGAAAATTCTAGTAGATTTATCTAAACTAGTAGAAGCTAAAGTTATCACCTGAAATTACAGAGTTTATATTCATAAGATGAAAGCCTTTTCATTTTCAACTATTTTCGGTAATTCCTGACAAGAGTTATGGTCCTTATCACTGAATAATGCTCTGCATGTATAGTAGGGAGTTAAGGGGCTCTGTGAAAAGTACATTCCCTCGATTCCAGGTAGTTTGTAAATAGAACTGCCCTGTTGAAAATTTTCAATCATAAGGTGGATCAATCTTCAATATTTACCATTTATTTATGAATTTACTGATTCTGTTTTAGGCATCATTTTTATTGGAAGAAGGTTGCTTACCTCATGAATATGACCAAGTTATGGAACAATTTGGGTTCCCGATGGGAATTTTTAAAGTTGGTGATTTGTCCGGTAAATTTGTAAAAGCTAAATTTTTAAGATTTTCAGGAATAGATAATACTACAAGAAAGGTGTTTCCTATCAATTTTATGGTTGACAATGCAATAGTTCCAGAGTCGGAGCCATGGCTAAGTGGGTAAGATGCTGACTTGCTAGCCTGGAGGTCAGGCATTCGATCCCTGCATTGGCTGAGAAAGTTTGTCGGGATTTTCCGACGTGGGTTCCCCTTGTCAGTAGTGCAGGATGGACGGCCTGACACGGACAGCTGTCTAGTCGTCCGCATGAGACAAAAGAAAGAGATCCTGTGTATACATTAGTATGCACGTAAAAGATCCCTTGGCATTCGGTGTAAGAGTAGGTCATAGTGCGGCTGCCCAGACAAAATTTCTCTCATAGCACACACTGTATGGCCTATGATCATAGCCCAGTCGGAGCAGAACAGTAGGACGTTAAACCCCATTTCATTTTCAGTTCCAGAGTTATGGCCCTTAATCCCCAAAAACTGTGTAGGGTAAAAAAAAAAGGTAGGTGATTGGCATCTTTTAACTTGTCTGGTAAACTGTGACAGTTATTATTGTAGGTCTAGATGTACTGTTGTTATTATAGGTCAAGATGTACTGTTGTTATTATAGGTCTAGATGTACTGTTATAGGCCAAAAAAAAAAATTGTTCTGTTTCCAGTAACCCGATCGACCCATTACAATTAAACCTGCCGACTCAATTTTTTTTTAGTGTCAAGATAAATAAAAAAACTTTTTTGTTCAACGACCGACCATTCAGAATACTCTAAGCCTATTGGATTTGTGAAAATGCCTTTTTATTTGTTACTATAAATGAATATAAATGCCATCGTTCTTTGAATCTGTATACTGTTGACGCAAGATTGTAAACTGACGTGAAAATCCAGACTACAGGTTTAGTTTAGATTTACCACTGCACATTCCGAAAGGCTATAATCCTCACAACCTTCGTTCTAATAAGTAAAGGCACGCAATTGGACAAAAACAAGTTAACATATATTTCAAAGAAGACAAATAAATCTATTACGGACCTATTTCGTGCGACGGGAGTTCTTTCCCTTGAACAAAATGGCCTCCCTACAATAGAACGATTAAAAAGTCCATTTGCCCCCTAAGAGAATATTTAAATCATAATCTAGACTCTGATACATTTTAAACAATAATCCAAGAATTTAATCCACCAATCTTTTTGTGCTTCAAGTTCCTCTGCGCCGACTCAACCTAACATAAAATTGAAGATTTATTTTTCACAACAGAATATTATGCTAGTTGCTACGGTAGATCTACTACTAAATCTAACAATGTAGCATTAAAAAAAAAAAAAAAAAAAATACCTACCGACCCTACCCTATTTTCCATCCGTTACAGGAAACAGAACCCTTTTTTTTTGGCCTTATAGGTCTAGATATACTGTTATTATCGTAGGTCTAGATATACTGTTGTTATTATAGGTCTAGATATCGGTTATAGAATAAGACAGGAATCAGCTAAAGCTAATGGTTATAAAGTTACAGTTGATACAAGATATATCCAGGGTGAAAGATTCTCTTCGTTGTCAGATAAACTTTATGAGCTCGGAAGACTGGGCCAAAAAACAGGTAGGGATATAAGTGTATTTTTATTTGGCATTTTAGATAACATACTGACTGCTATGATGGTTTAAAGTGTTTAGATGATGTTGCGTTCACTTTTGATGATACAGGTCATACAAAATGGATATTTGAATTCAGATGAAACTGGAATTGGTGAAAACATATTGCTGCATAACCACTACTTCATAATTACACTGCATAACCATCAATATGCTGTGTTATCACCACTTCATAAACATGCAGAATTATCAATACTTGATGCTCCACAATTACTATGTGATAATTGTGTTACATAATCACCACTGTATAATAATGCTGTAGCAGCATAATTAATACTTTGTAATCACTGTGTCTTAATTGTGTTCCATAATCACTGTGTCTTAATTGTGTTCCATAATCACAGTGTCATAATTGTGCTCCATAATTACTACATCATAATCGTGCTGTCTGTTATTGTTATATACTCTTTAAAAAAAAGTAGGGGATATTGAAATGCCGGTTGTGATATGATAAATAGTCATGGACACTTGACATGCTTTGAGAGTATGTTCACAGATGAAGAACTTATCGCCCCAACAGAACCACTGAGCGACACGCAATAGTGCCATACACGTGGGAGGGGTTCATTGTCAAAATTGACACTTCATTGAAGGGTTGATGAAAACTGCCGTGTGCTTTTTTATCCTATCCATGTTTGCTTTCCTATCTGTTCTTGCATAAGATTTACTGTTTAGCGTATCTTTGCTTTAGTGTGTTACGTTTAATTTGATCGGGAGACATGTTCGTAGACATCAACATCAACCGACAAAACTGCAAGAATTGGCCGTGGCACTGCAAGAGGAATGGGTCAGATTGCCCCAAATCGGGATTGGACGGTTGATTAGGAGCATGCCATGACGAATTGCTGAATGTCTGAGGATTGGTGGAGCAATTACTCATTATTAAGACAAAATCAAAAACGTCCATTTTCACTTTTGACAGTGTATCTCTTTGCGGGTGAAATGGGTCCACCAGATAAGCCGTCCATATGAACTGTTTATGTTCATGTGTAGGCAATTGGCCTCTTATTAACATACACTGGTTACCTCTAATAAAAACAGCAGTGCATTTCCGCAGTTTTGTATTGTTTCTGAATATCCCCTACTTTTTTTGAAGAGTATATTTAAATCTGATCCATTATGATTATATTTTTTACAGGCAAAGGATTTTACAAGTATGATAGACCTGGTGCCAAAGAAGCTTTCGTTGACCCAGACGTAACAGATATTATATTAAAACATTGTAAAGATACTGGTATAATCCGACGTAAAATAAGTACACAGGTATTGTTATAATTATAAACTATGCTGGGCAGAAATTTTATTTTTCTGTAGATTGTACAGCAGTATATCCTCATATTTCTATGGGGGGTTGGATGGCCGAATGGTTAGCACGCGCACGCTGTGTCATACGGTCTGTCATTGAGTCAACTGGCGGGGTTGTACGTGACAAGGAGTAGGGTCGCCTGTCCAACCTCGTGGGTTTTCTCCAGGTACTCCAGTTTCCTCCCACTGCTAAAGACCCCTACGCGCAAGCGAATTATTGAAATAAAAAAATTAAACCATATATTAGTCCCGAAATGAACTAGTTTGTGTCGAGTGGACGTTAAACCCCATTTCTCTCCCTCTCATATTTCTATCGACCCCTACTAGCAAGCAAATTATTCAAATAAAATTGTATTATATTTTGGTCTTGAAATGTCCTAGTTTGTATCCAGTTGACGTTAAACCCAATTTCTCTCTCTCTAAAAGCAGTAGCATTCGAAAATTGGTTCATTTCTATTTACAAAGATATGATCAATTGTAAGTTTTGCAAAATTAGGCATTCTATACTAATGATATATAAACAAGCCAGTTCCAGCTATAAGTATTGGGGAAAATCTTTTGATGGCCCTCCTTTTAATCTGATTGAATCAAATCCAGGATACTGTTAACTTTGTATTCTCAGTTAAACATACATTATGCAAGAACTAAATCTGCCTATTACAGGTCTTTCTTTAGGTCTGAAATGTTATCTAAATTATTAATTAGGCATTAATTAACTTATCCAGACCATAATCAACTCTCGATGTCATAGCTAGTCTGTGATGTTTATTGGATTAGGTTCCAATTTGCTGTTTGACTTCCATTCATGATTAACTCATGAAATGGATAATCGAGACTATGTTTTTTATCGTATCAACGTTAGTAATGGTGATCGAGGCTAGACCCAAAATTCAATCCTAAATTCTCGGCTCAGAGTGGATCAATTTGACTGAAATTTTCAGCAAATTTTCATTACATTATCTAGTTTTTAACTATTATAGTGAGAACTTCTAGCTCTTTATCAAATCACCCATAATGTATCTTTAAATGTTAAATAATCAATTTGAGAATGGAGTAATCACTGAAAAATGGGATGTTGTTTGAACAAATTTAAATGACAATCGGGGGGCTTTAACAGCTATAAATGATAAATGTTGTATATATTATTTATATTTGTAGGAAATAGTAGAAAGATCTATGTATTCAGCTATAAATGAGGGATTCCGATGTTTAGAAGATGGTGTCGCCAGTAAACCAGAAGATATAGATGTTATTTGGTAAGATATATGGCATATAGAGGATATGGTGGGGTGGGTTGTTTTTTCAGTGGAGTGGAGGGGGTGGGGGAGTAACGTGGTGGGTGTAAGTCTCAGTAGAGTTAGGGCAGGGGGAGTAGAGTTGAGGGTATGGGGTGGGGATGAGGTAAAGAGGAGGGTATGGGGTGGTGTGAGTGAAGTGGAGGGTATTGGGTGGTGTGAGTGGAGTGGAGGGTATTGGGTGGTGTGAGTGGAGTGGAGGGTATTGGGTGGTGTGAGTAGAGTGGAGGGTATTGGGTGGTGTGAGTATAGTGGAGGGTATTTGGTGGTGTGAGTAGTGTGGAGGGTATTTGGTGGTGTGAGTAGTGTGGAGGGTATTTGGTGGTGTGAGTAGTGTGGAGGGGGTGAGTAGAGTGGAGGGTATGGGGGTGAGTAGTGTGGAGGGTATGGGGGTGAGTAGAGTGGAGGGTATGGGGGTGAGTAGTGTGGAGGGTATGTGGGTGAGTATACAGTGGAGGTGGTGGGTTTATGTGAGTGGAATAAAAGGTATGGGGGTGAGTGAAGTAAATGGTATGGACGCAGGTGATTGGGGGTATTGAAGAGTTTTGTTATGTGAGATTTCATTATCTGACAAATGACCTATGTGTCATATTTTCATTTATGTTAATGATTTCTATTAGGTTACATGGTTTTGGGTTTCCACGTTATCGAGGTGGCCCAATGTATTATGCCAGTACAATTGGATTAGCAGAAGTCTATGATAGAATATGTTATTATCACAAAACATTCCGTAAGTATTTAACAAACATTTATATTTAAACTTCGCCTGAACTTTCAGTGCCATCAATAACCCAGGAAGTGAAAATTGGAATTTGATGTTAGGGGAAATTTGTCTGATAGCACACTGCATTGCATATGCCTGTTTTTATTTTATGTCAAAAAAGTAGGGCATTAAACCCCATTTCATTTCTATATATTCCAGCTGAAAGTAGTTATTGGGTTCCGAGTGATCTATTACGTAAATTAGCGACATCAGGTAGAAATGTTCCAATGAATGAATGGTCAATGGCAGCACCAGTTAACAAGAGTAGACTTTAATATATTTAATATTACCAACCATTGTGAATTTGATTACAGCTAATGTTTAATATAAAATAATGAAATTGGCTTCCAGTTTGAGCGAGGTTCAATTTAAAGCTCTTGTGCATTTGTTTAAATCAACATATTCTGATACTGCACCCCGTTATTAATGTGCCATAAGTTTATTATTTTGTTACTGTTATTATTTAGATCTATGTAGGTTAAATGTATGCAATAATCTACAAATAGTGCTATTATTATTTTTTATATTTGTTACAAACTGTAGGTTATGTACAGGTTATCAAATTGTTCTTTGATGTAATTATATAATGATTATGTGTATGTATAACCACAAACAGTGATTTGTTGAATTTAATTCAATATTTTGTGATAAGCTTAATTGGGATTGAGCTGATTTGGTTTATTGAGTAACAAATAATAACAGGTTATTAATCCTACCTACCACCCTGGTAATTACAATTTAATTGAAAATGTGCTGTAATGATGATTACTTTTATGATTACATTATTAACTAGCATTTATTCATATATGATTCCCGGGTTATATGTGACAAGGAGCAGGGTTGCCTGTGCAACCTCGTGGGTTTTCTCCGGGTCCTCCGGTTTCCTCCCACTGCTAAAGACCCCTACGCGCAAGCGACTTATGGAAATAATATTGAACCATATGTTAGTCCCGAAATGACCTAGTTTGTGTCGAGTGGATGTTAAACCCCATTTCTCTCTCTCTCTCTTTTTATCCATATATGTCTACTACTGTTAATGATTACACTATGAACTAGCATTTATCCATACATGTCTACTACTGTTAATGATTGGGTTTTAGTGAATAAGACTTGGACTAATTAGACAGTTAGTAAAACCCAATATTAAAAAACCCTGCCGAGACCAATGATTATTTGGGTTTACATTATTACTTTGATTGTAAGGATTTTAAAAAAACCCAAAGATTCTTTATCTGAATGTAATATTATGTTTAAGATATATTTGATATTTCTTGTTGTTTAGTGTGTTTGAGTTTATGTAATCTGTGATTTTTTAAATAAAATTTGTATTATATTTGATTAAAATGTTAGTAAAAAAAAAAATATAACATATAAGTTAATATTTATCAATAAATGATATAGAACTTAAAACACCTTTAAGGTCTGGGTGGTTGAGTGGTCGAAGCGTGCGCTTAGATTTTAAGTAATGTAGGGTTGCCTGTCAAACCTCTTGGGTTTTCTCTGGGTCCTCCGGTTTCCTCACATTGCTAAAGACCCATACAAATTATGGAAGTAAAATTGTGTTTATCCCGAAATGACATAGTTTGTGTCAAGTGAACATTAAACCCCATATCTCTCTGGCTTAAGATCTTTTATTGGAATCAGGGGTGTGGTGACCCATGATTTTGCATGAGGAACAAACAATATTTATATGTGTGTGCATGGGGAGGGGGTGGGTTGGCAGTCCCACCAAATAATATTGGGCTGTGTGGAATATGCTAAGAGTCGATGTGCAGCATATCTGACCCACAGTATATGTTTAACACTGGTTGAGCATTATGATTATAATGTTGAAAACCACAATAAAACCCCGTGATTTTTTGCCATTTGCGAGGGGGCCCAAAAACTCTAAACCAATTCCACCGAGTAATATTGGGCTGTGTGGAACATGCTAAGAGTCGATGTGTAGCATATATCTGACCCACGGTGTATGTTTGACACTGCTTGAGCATTATGATTATAATGTTGAAAACCACATTGAAACCCCGTGATTTTTTGCCATTTGTGAAGGGCGCAAAAATTCAAAACCATGACGCAAAGCTCGTCATTATGTCCCTCTCACTTAGCCCCTGATGGAATATATACATGTATATACTTTTATTATAAAGTACAAGTTCACAAAGCGAAATTTAGATTTGTATTTTAATGAAACTGGAGAAAAAAGGGGCAATCTTTAATTGGATTAACTGCCCATAAGAAATGTTCTTATATAAATAATTGATCTGATATAAATGATTTTACAGATCCTATTTCGTTTCGTTTTTATAGTTCAAAATTTCATTTTACTTGTCTTTACTACTTCATGTAGTGTAGGCCATCGAAAGTATAAAAAAACGAAACGAAATATAGATCTGTATTTTAATCAGATTGATGATTTTAGTTTGTAATAATAACTGTGGGATTGTTTTTTATATACAGAAATAGAAAAACAAATTTTTTTATAGCAAATGTAAATTTATATATAAACAAAGTTACATAATAATTATGATATGTAAAATATTTTTGATAATTAAAATATAAAACATTAGAAATTTATTTGATTTACTTCTTTAAGAAAATACATCTGTGTATATAATTACCAAATTAGTCTATAATGATCTACATTTTCGGAATCAAATCGATCTATAATTATCCACATCTATATCAAATCGATCTATAATTATCAACATATACCAATCAAATCAGTCTATAATTATTCATATATACCAATCAAATCAGTTTATAATTATCAACATATACTGGTTTAATTTACATATATTCATGTAGACATTTATAGCATATAGAGGTCCCTTAGATTGTGTTCAAGAGATTGTAATCTAGAGAATCTATGAAACGGCCGCTTTAATTTATACTCATATGCTCTACTACCATTATAAAGCCTTCAGCCTTTTCAAAGGTTCCACGCCACATTTCTTGGCTAACCCATCCTGAAAAGATATAGAGAAGTTATTTTATATCAATATAATGTCAAAGGTGAATATAGATGCAGTATTTAATGGTACTCTTTCCAATGTATAGTCCAAATGTATAACGTTGTCAGACAAAATAAGTACGCCCACCCACATCTTTTTTTTTGCGGCGGGGGTGGGGGGGGGGGGTGTCAGTGTGGCAGATCCCGGTAGGATCTAGCCACCCCCATCACCAAATTTAAATGACAGGACAAATATTTCGCTTATTTTATTATTTTGTTTCAATAAAACGTGTACATTGGAGTGTGTTATTATTCGGGGACTAAATATCAACCATAAATCCCCATTGACACACCGATTTTTCCAAGCGGGTGGTAGAGAACCCATCACCCCCACCACTTGCTGAATAACCTTTATCCGCCACTGGGCAACAAGGATAGGATGTTACTCAGTCACAATAGCAACATCACCAATACCATCTGAAAACCTCTGACCCGCAGAGCGTTTACAGGGTTTCGGTGATAGTGGCAATGATTTCGTGTAAAATCGATGTGCCACAATAGATTTCAATAGGATTTCTGCATATGATTACCCGAACCATCCCTACGCGCAGATGACCAGTCGTCTTATTACACACAGATGTGGGACCAAAACTCAAAAGCACACTTCGATGACAGAGACCTTGTGATCTACTCACAACAGACGTGCTAAACCACTCGACCATCCAGCCACGTATATTTATTATTTAGCTCTTGTTTCAATACCCTGCACTCCCCGATAAAGTAATATCTTACGGCAGCTGCTAATTGTTGAGCTGGGTATGGGATCCCTCCAAGTTCATCACATTTCTTAACATGCTCTCTTTCTGGATCACCGGCTACTTTTACAGGCCCAGCACTACCTTCAGCCTTCACACAGAAAATAAAACAGAGATTGGAGCATTGACGTCGATTAAACACAAACTATTACATTTCGGGTTATACATGTATTTGTATTTCAGTAATTGTTCAGGGGTCTTCAGATGTCTGGAATCCGGAATAAAAACGCCAGGTTAGTGATGCTTTCTCGTCTTGTCATGTACTTCTTCCCGCATTTGAATCGCTAACAAGAAACTACGATCTTACAGCGCACGCGCTAAACCACTATGTCAGTCAAACCAGAGATAGGGAAATGGGGTTTAAGGTCCACTTAGCACAAACATGGACTAACAATTGTTTCAATTTTTTATTTCTATAAGTCGCTTGCGCTTAGGGGCCTAGGGGTTTATCAGCAGAAGGAAACGGGAGAACCCAGAGAAAACACAGGAGGTTGGACAGTCGACCCACTCCTTGTCACGTACAAGCGGGGAATTGAAACCATACCTTTTGATCTAAAGGACACGCGTTAAACCATTCGGTCACCCAACTCCACTCACTCAAGCCAACACCCAATAAACCAAATGAACATCAAAACAAAGTTTAAAATACGATAATACAAACATTGTCCCTTTGTGACGTTCACAGCCTTTAAAGTCTGACTTTAAACGGGAAATTAAAACAATGAGATTTTGACAATTAACATTAAGAGGCGGTGTAAATTAACGAAATGAAATGGGGTTTAACGTCTTACCTTTCTGCACCGTATGGGATGAAGGGCTAATACAGGCGGACAACATCGAAGTCAGCGCCTTAAATCATTGAGTCACCGATCACCGTAGCACCCGTTTCCCCTTGGCGTTAGTCTGGACAATCTTCCCCAGATGTCTGTACGGTAGAAGTCTATACATAGAGAAGAAAGAAGTATTAATACTTACCGGTTGTAAATTTCTACAGTGATCCATTAAATCACTCATTCTATCTGTAAAACCCGGAGCAAATACAGACGGATCTAAAGCTACAAAACACTGGCCCTAAAATACACAAAAACACCTTGATACCAGTGACCATAACTGGCCCAAAATAAAAATGAAATGGAATGGGGTTTAACGTCCTACGTTTCAGCACCAACCGGGCTAATGAAGACGGGCATACACCTTGCAATGTGGTATAAGTGAAATTTTCCGCCTACTCTTCATCAAAATACAACTTCGAGGGGGGGGGGGGGGGGTGTCTTTCATGTGCATGCCAACTTGTACACGGGACCTCGATTTTCGATTTTTCTTCCCATCGAAACGACCAGTCGCGGTTCCTTGCCAGTCAGGGGAATCCCAAGACAAAACACCCAATGACCTTAATACAAACAAATCTACAGTGGCGTGCATATAATTTGGTGATGTTCGGGGCCAACTCATTATTGTATGTCCCCCCCCCCCCCCCGCGCTCCCCCAAGACGCAAGTAAGGAAAAGGAGCTGTTTTGAATATGTATAAAAAAATAAAGTAGTACAGCTTGTTCAACAGCGATGATTTCAAAACTCAAAATATTAATTTTAATCTCACTCTGTGTTTGGATGTCTCTCCCCCTGCCCTGAAATAAATGCCCAGAGACGTTGACACCTCGGCAATTTACAATAAATATCGTATTTTACACCATTGTTGTTATTTCTAAAATCTAGATTTAATTTTAATATTTAATGAACGTGACAAAACACACTCCTTCAACACATTATCTTCACATAAATGATATGTACATGTATTTACCAAATTAGATATTTCTGAGTGAGATGACCAATGACGTATTTTGCTACCAAAGTTTGCCCCACTTAAAATACCACAGAAGACTTCCACCATCATTCCTAAACCATAGCCTTTATATCCACCTATAGAAATAAATAAAATATCTTTATATCTACCTAAAGAAATAAATAAAACATCTTTATATCCAACCAAAAGAGATAAATAAAATATCTTTATATCCAACTAAAGACATAAATAAAAAGTTTTTATAGCCAACTACAGAGATAAATAAAACATCTTTATATCCAACTACAGAAATAAATAAAACATCTTTATATCATGTTAAATAAATAATATATTTGCATCGGTCTTTACGTCTTATAAATTAGAAGACATGAAACTGTGCTTAATGTCCGGTTTTTCTGTACCAACCGGTCTAACAAAGACCGGTATCCAACCCGGACAGTGGCGATCCAACGCAGCTCTTCTGACACCATGACGTCGCCGGTTTAAACTGAATAAAATAAATGAGGCTTTATTTTCTGAGCCATGTTTGCTAATAACAGCCACCTTCGTCGGGGACACCTCACTTTCCCCACATCTATTGTTTAGAGTCTAGGTCCACCCGGCCATGACTAATTAACCAACAAAGGGGGTTTAAAGGGATTTAAAGTATAGTCTGTAACAAGTTTGTGACACTTCAACATTGTAAATAAATAAATAAATACATTTTTATAGTATGAATATTTATAAAGAGTTTGATATATAATAAGTACAAATATGTAATAAATAATTATATATGCATATATTAACTAAATAATTTGTCCAATCTACTGATAGTGGGAAGTGTTCACCAGTAACAATAATTAGAGTGAGAAGTTTACACCAGTCATACTAATTAATTAGAACAGACTATAGTCCTACACCCACGGTCTACTAACCTCCTAATCCTTTATCAAAACAATCAAATGTGGGGAAAGTCAGGTTAAACCCGTTCGTCAGGCTTAATGTCCGCTTTCACCTAGGGTAATATCGCAGACAATCATCGCATGTTGTTTTTATAATTTTCGATTGAACTAAATCAAATCGACCAATCCTTTAAGCAAACTGAATTAGGTGTCTTTAGATATTGACACCCAGTTAGCTTTATTAACTACGTAAGGTTAAACTGGTGCTCGTCATGAATCCACTCGGTTGTAAGTGGACGTTATGAAATACCAATGAACTTGACATGAAGCAGTTCACGCCAATACAATTAGCCACAGGCCTGAACCTACCTGTTTCTTCTGTTCCACCTAGAGGGAGTAAACCGCCATCTTCTAAAAATACAGCTTTAGGATCAGTAGTTACCTACACAAAACAAAATAAAAATAATGTATTTGATCAGCAGAATAATTAGCCATCTTAAGACCATCCGTACTATATGCTCCAGTGTGGATATTGTCTGGCCAGCCCCATTTCACCAAGTTAAGAATGTTACCTCCTTAGCGACCGTCTATGTGCAAACTGTAAAAGGCTGAACCCATGACTTTTTTCAGCGCCTTAAACACACTCTTGCAAATTGTTACATGGCTCCAGTCTCATTACACACGATCAGAAACAATTCCTTTCCCAGAGACTATAGCATACCCCTTAAGTTGGCAGTTTGGGTTCTGAAATCAACGTATGTTTAAAATAAATCGTAATATATATTTACCTGACCTTCATTATCAACACCCCAGGTGGGTGGAATAGGTTGTCCCATAACATGTTTAATCTCCACCTACAAATATATAAAACATGCAATTTTATTTTGAGACTGAAACACGATTATTTCTTTCAATAGTTATAAAGTAAAGGGGTGCATGAATTTGCCCTAGCAGAGGCGCATCCGTGTAGTCATCATTGAATTGTAACTGTCAAGGGTATTTTTACGCGCGCACCCTCATGTGTACACGACTGGACCTTATGTTTCCCTTCCATCTCAACGACTATAGGTAACACTTGACAAACTTTCCTGCAGATATGTAATACAGCATTATAAGGAATCATGAATACCTAGATTAGTTGATTCAATGGCAAATAAACTGACGTCCACTTTCAAACAAGAAAATAACGAAATCTGAGCTACCAGTTGTAACAAAGTTAAATGGAAATACACAGCCCAAACACAACATTGCTGAATGCAGAACATGGTCATCGTGCACGGGATGGCTTTTTGAGACCACGTAGTATATGCAGCCATGTTATGGGTATAAAGGAGATACCAACAGCATGTGAGATGTCCACACTGTATAAAAACCACCATACATATGCCACGTCTGACACCAGTACGTCGCGAGCGAGCCCTGGGTATGGTACAGATGGATGCCACTCATACCAACGTTGCGAGAACGTTTGTTTTTTCCCGTGTTGGAGTTATCAACGTCACAGACAGACAAGGCAGACAACAGACAAACCAAGAACGGGTAGACTCAGGGTAAAAACGCCCCACGATGACCGACCGGTACATGAGCACCTTACTCCTCCGGAATCGCTTCCTCGCCGTGACGTTATCAGCGAGAGGTGCCTTAGGTCACATGGTCAGCAGACACACAGTTGACAGACGACTCAGGGATCGGGGAATTGGAGCTTACATACCGTATAGGGGACAGGTATTGATAGCACAACATCGTCGTCAGAGAATGAAATGGGTCCCAACTGTGCGACGTTGATAGCGACGTGGCTGGCAGAGCGTCGTCTTCACTGATGAAAGCCGGTTCTGCTTGTACATGGCTGATGGATGGCAAGGCGTGTACCGCAGGAGGAGTAAATGAACGGTGGATTGCTCCGTTCGGGAGATCGTTCCTGGCTTACCTTTCCTAATGCTACTGCCGTTGTAGCCATATCCAGTACAAAGTTATCATCGTTATTAGCTGGTGCTGCTACAGATATAGGATTCGTTCCTAATACTTTCTGTACAAATAAACAGAATAGGATTAATCATTGTAAAAGCTTTATCAAAATATATTTCTTAAATTACAATGTACCGCTAGTGTGCAAAACGCGACATGTTCGTTTTAACATAATTATTACTGTTCTGAGCTACCTGTGTCACAATTCCAAGTATTATCAAACATGCTCGGTATTTCATTCCACCATTACACGATAGACCAGCAATTACGTTTCCTAGCCTTTCACATCAGACATAAAAACCAAGATCGTAATAGCATGAATACACGCACACTCTTCGGATTCCTTAGGGTGAATCATGTCAGGTTATCACCTCGCGGTAGACAAGGCTATACACTTATGGCATCATTTATCTTACAGAGTGTACACCGAATGCATGTCGATGTTGCAATTGATGTTAATTTTGACAATATTGCAACAGTATGGTTCGACCCTACTCAAAAAAATGAATCAAGTAGGGATTCGAATCCGATACCGCATGAATGTGCGTTCAATATAACACACAATCTGATTAAAATACAGATCTATATTTCGTTTCGTTTTTTTTCAATAATTTCGATGGCCTACACTACATGAAGATCTGACAACTTGTACTCAAAGGTCGTTTCAGGGGTCGTACGAACGACTTTTGACCCTATAATATGACGTCAGACATTGACTAATCTCTCAGCGTTGACATTTCTAGTGGTTTACCCACAGTTCCGCGCATGGCACGCCAAGAAGTCGCCGTAACAGACCATTTCATTTGCTTATCCCTCACTTCAACAAAAACGCCGGTAATATAACAAGTCTTCCAGATCCTAGTGTAGTAAAGACAAGTAAACCGAAATTTTAAATTACATTGTATTAAAAATGAAACGAAATAGGATCTGTGTTTTTATCAGATTGATTAACACACGAGATCAATTTTGTTTTCATAAAAAAATAATGTAATTTACCTTTCGTGCTCGTGTTGGCACCATACAGGGTGACGTGTTACAATATGCCATTCCCTTAAAAATAAAAAAAATATGAGACTTAAGTGACAAGACATGGCAAGAAAATGAGTCGGTTCCGGTTTCAAATTAAATCACCAGCCTTGAGTTATTGGATAATTCACGCATGGAAATGAAATGGAGTTTAACGTCCTACTTTTCTGCGCCAACCGGATAATGGAGACAGGCATACACCATGCAGTGTGCTATGAAGGAAAGGCTTCTTTTGCGTGCACGTCAACAAGAACAAGGATTGGACATATTTTTTTCGTCCCATCGAACAACTAGATACCAGTGCCCCTGCACTGCAGTCTTTTCTTATTCCGAATTCCAATTGTCAAGTTTTTATTGTAGTACCTGTACCTTATGGTGTACACGGCACCTCGGGTTTTCGACCCATCCGAACGACTAGATGCTGCCATTAACAGCCCCACCCCTATCTTAGCTCACTGACATGGAGAAGAGTGCTGGAAAATCCTAGGGAAACACGTTGGAAAAACCCGTGGAACCGCGTTGGGAAATCCCTGGGTTAGCTAGCCATCACCTTACTCGGTGAAGCACCGCCCCCCCCCCCCCCCCCCCGGCTGATGTTTGACATCTATAATGAACATATTTTTTTCGTCCCATCGAACAACTAGATACCAGTGCCCCTGCACTGCAGTCTTTTCTTATTCCGAATTCCAATTGTCAAGTTTTTATTGTAGTACCTGTACCTTATGGTGTACACGGCACCTCGGGTTTTCGACCCATCCGAACGACTAGATGCTGCCATTAACAGCCCCACCCCTATCTTAGCTCACTGACATGGAGAAGAGTGCTGGAAAATCCTAGGGAAACACGTTGGAAAAACCCGTGGAACCGCGTTGGGAAATCCCTGGGTTAGCTAGCCATCACCTTACTCGGTGAAGCACCGCCCCCCCCCCCCCCCCCCGGCTGATGTTTGACATCTATAATGAACATATAGCATAGTATTTCATGGTATTTATATTACTATTAAGTTGTGTTCTAGTGCCATCATACTGTACCATCCAGCTATACCAAAATGATTGGAATCTAAAAAGGAAATAGAATTGATTACAAACGTGAATGAGTATTCTGGTCACGTCGTCTTCTACGGGATTCAAGACTTTATGCAAATACATGTATATATCTTTGGGACTGTCGTTTGTCTGTTTGTTTGTTCGTCTGTTTGGTATAGAGCTGTCTAGAGGCTTAAAGTTGGGGTTTAAGGCTTTAAAGGGACAATAACACTCTTGCTGGCTTGAAAGCTCCAGAAAATAAATAATATCTCTATCTAAGTACTAGATGTGATAGTGCCCTACCTGTTGTGTAAATTATCCATTACATCCTATTTTACTTGTCCAGAGGGTTCGAAAATATTTTTAAATCGAAGTTTCATTTGAAAAGGTTTACGTTAGACGTTTCAAACCATTATGTTGAATTTTTCAAATTTTTTAAATAAGGTGTGTTAAGATGAAATTTGTATCATCAATTAATTGGAATATTGTAAAATAGTACAATTTGTTGACGAGAATAAAGATTGGGACATATAATTCGGTTACAACAAGAGTGGTATTGAGCCTTTAAGGAAATATATTGATTTGAAAGATTTATAGTATCTACAAATCTGAACATGCACTAAAAACGACTAAAACATTTTCCTTTCAATTGGATATACGAATAGCATACGGATAATGACTTAGAATATTCGAATAGGAAAAGCAGCTTTCGATGTGACAACGAAATACAACTGCGTTTAATTCGGAGAGTTTTTTTTTTCTTGACGGGCTGTGATGATCCCGCCCCCTCTTTAGTAATGGCTTACTTGATCGCCATAATTTGCACTCCTTTTTAGCTCTGTCGAATTTATCCTTTAAAACAGAAATCGGGGTTGGTGTTAAATGACCGCGGCATACACAATCCCTATCCTCCGGACGGTCATTTGACAAATTTCCGAGATTTAGGAAACACATGTCCTATCACTCTGTGTGCCCTGTAACAAATAGGTCGGGACAATGGTCAACAGACGGGCGTTTTATTCAAAACAGTTGAAAATTGCAAATACTTACGTCGAGCTGTTACCCATCCAATACCAGTTTCTTTAGCTTTTTGTATAGCCAATTCCATACAAAACTTTCCTACCACTGGACCTAAAAAAGAGAAAATAATTTGGAAGCATTTTCTAAAATATATACGCCTACTTATATCTTACAGTATTACATATTTTGGAGGAAACTGATAAACTGATAAATTATAACAGACGATTAATTTTAACATAGAGAAAATTGAACTTGACGTTTTAGAAAACTATACACATTCAAATTTCTCCCACCGGAAGCCAACCTTGACTCAGTGAAAAGGTGCGCTTGCTCAATTACTAGGCGGTACCGAGTTCAGCCCCGGTATGGGCTTTGAAGGTTACTCGAGATTCTCCAACCTAGTTTCTTAAAAATGTCAGTGGAATAGGGAGGAGGGCCTGGTAAGGGACGCCGTCTAGTCGGTCGGATAGAACGAGAAAAATATGCATGTAAAAGAACCCGTGGTATTTAAAATTCGAGGGCAAGATTTCTGTCATAGCAGGGTGTGTATAAAATGTCAGTGGAGTGGGAAGGAGGGCCTGGTAAGGGATGCCGTCTATTCGGTCGGATAGGACGAGAAAAATATGCACGTAAAAGAACTCGTTGTAGTTAAAATTCGAGGGCAAGATTTCAACCATAGCAGGGTGTGTATAGAACACAACGAGATTGAATCACCTTGGCTCTCCTCGGTTAAACATTTACAAACATAAAGTGGTCTTCTCAAGACCGATCTGTTAGTAAAACAAACCTATAAAACTAATACCCAACTTTTCTGGTATTATTTTCAATATTTACCTTGTAAATTATTACCATCAACAAGACCAGTAGAAACCGTCTGTTTTAAAATTTTAGGCTCGCCTTTTGTTTCTACCATATTCTGCTCTATATCAGCCATATACATACCTGATTCATACACAAATACATCATACCAAAGTTATATACGCTGTCTACAATTAGCCCCGCTTAAGAAAGAGAAAGAGAGAGAGAGAGAGAGAGAGAGAGAGGGGAGGTCATTTCGGAACTAACATATGGTTCAATTTTGCTTCAATAACTCCGCTTGAGCACAGACATTTTAATTCCTAGGCTATACTTCTAGAATTTTAAGACACGGGACACCTACGAAAATGATGTCACAGACTATAGATGTCTTTTACCCTCGTGATAATATGGTCACTCCCTTGCAATATTTCCTATCAGATGCTTGGGACATGGTCAGAAAAATGTTCGAAAAATTGTTGTAGGACATAGATTTAACCCAAACGACAATCAGTAATGAAAAAAAAATATTAGTCTGAAACCTGGTATAAAAACAGGTTATTCCCCTTTAACCATTCCATTGTTATTCAATTTGACCCACTGTAATTCTACATATTATAAAGTATTTTTTATGTATAGTATGCAAATTAGGCAGAACATATATTTACATCTTTAATATTTAGCTGATATTGTTTCCCTGTGACATTTGATTCAGATTTAGAGTGAACGTGCAAAATGAAAGTGTTGAAGAAAACTCTTTTATAAATAATCGAGCCTACTGTACCTAATCTGTTCAACCCATGGCTATAATGGCCCCTGTAATCCGCGGCTAACAGATTCTGAGCCAAAGTGTCGGCATGTTCAGGACAGGCTCCCACTTGAGTCATACAATTGGTGATAAATTCTCTCAAATCGGATTGCTGCACGACATACTCTGTCTCCGCCATTTTACGATCTGTGTGTGCTATCGGCGTGCTATCGGCGTGCAAGCGGTAAAGCCCTATCATAAATTACATAGTCTTGCTTTACAAGTCCATGATTGACAAGTCACGAGCTCTTGAATGAACGCAAGGCGTGTAAGTGCATACACTCACACGTCTCAATGCTCAACTTCGAGTAGGCTTAGTCTGAGTCCAATGTTTAGCAGGTTTTGGATTCATTCAGTAGGCAATGTCCATCGGGGTAAAGGCTACTCACAAACAATCGTAAAACCGGCTGAAGTTTGCCTCATTTATTCAATTTCCGGAGTCCACAATGGCCGCTTTAAATAAATGAGTACGGTATCGTGGGGGAATACTAACCCTTACCCTTTTAAGAGGTGAACAGAGGCGTCGTGCAAAAATTTTTTTCGGGGGGGGGGGCGCCCAATTTTCTGCAATTAAATTTACTGGCCGAGGAGCGTGTGGGCGGCAGCGCCGCCCCACACAGAATACCGCAGGCATGAGCACGCAAGGGAGGTCCGTGGGACCCTCCACCGGAAAATTTTTAAAATTAGAAGCCGGGAAACGCCATTTCGATGGATTAGAGACAATAAAGTTATGATTGAAAAATGGTCGTTTTTTTTTAGTGATAATTGTAATTTATCACTCGAAAATTGAATTATATTTTTATTCATCTCATTTCGAACAACTTCACGCAAAACCCCATTGCTTCCTCCACCCCTGCCTCTGTCAGGGTTATGGTCAAATACAGGATTTCATTGATTGATTAAATTTTTAAATGGCGTCGTGAGCGGGGATTAACCATTACGTTGACGTCATATTGCCGGAAATTTTAGATCGAGGCTAAATGATAGAGTGTACGAAGAGAGGCCGCTGTAGACAAATTATACAATTCCTGGAGACCGTGTGATGACTAAAACAGACGGACATGTCTTCTGTCTGAATAATATAAATAAAAATATTTTTATTTCCCTGAGAATTTGGGGGGCACGTCGCCACTGGAGGTGAATTAGATCAAAGTTCAGTCTTCTAAAAAAGGGTTAGGTTTAGTAGTCTATTCCGCAAAATATTGATTTATGTTATATAAAGCGGCCATTGTGATCTCCCCAACCGGCCTAAAATTAAAATCTCCCAATGAAGAAGGCATAAGCCCTGCAGTGTGCTGCGAGCAAAATTTTACCCGGACAACAATTTAATTGCAACTGTCAAGGGTTTACTCCCATGAATGGCTAGACGCTGTTCCTTGTCATGCCCTGCGTCCTGAATCACGGTAACTCCAAAATGTCCAACCTCGTGAGTTTTCTCCTACTGTTTTGGAATGGGGTTGGCTCTCTGTCTCTTCGTTCGTCTAGCTGTCTGTTCGTATATCACGCAATTTAGGACACAACCCCCCTGATGCTATTACGGTAGAAATTCTGTACAGATTTTGCACAGGGATACGTGATTTGAGTTGTTGGTGGTTTGGACACACTAATTTTGATTTTACCCGAGCGAGAATGACGAAACTTGGCCTATAGATTCATTACGTCAGTAGCCTACTTTGATAATGATAATTTTCTGCTCAGGTTAGACAGAGTGATAAGTAGTTTGATTTTTTTAATGCTTTCTAAATAAATTAATGTGCAAGCATTGGGTGTCACCTATTTATTTGCGAATTTTAGTCAGGAACATCAGTCTCCCTGTGTAACAAAGTACTTTTTAACTTTCATCAAATTGAACGGTCATCTAGGTGCTTAGTACTTTATGACCTCAGCTGATTGTTGATAATATATGATATTGATTTTTCAACTCTGTACACGGACTGGCGATGAGCTAATTAAACATGTAATTAATCCCGTATGTCATTTACAAACTACATATTATGCTCTGTGTACAAGATCCACATGACTTCAAAGGAATACGTACTGGTCAGTAGGCATGCCGTGACGAGATAAAAGAGACAATTCCATGTATGACCATGTGTCCGCAGGTATATAACCAGGCGTTGGCTGAGAGTTAGATAAAGAGGAGCGGGGAGGAGAGGCGAGGCTTGGACGAGTGTATGGATTCACCCGAGTTCAGCTGCTGCCTTGGCAGAGAGCAGAATGGTGGAATTAACATAGTTAGATGTGTTCCTGTCGTAGTAATAGTTCCAGTATAGTCAAGTCATCGATGTAGTCTAGTTCCGATGTAGTTTAGTTCATGTTGTATCCCTCATAAGTTAACAAAATAAAATAAAATATTTGTGATATGTTTCGATAATCAATCCCTTAAACGGCAAGAATATTCATAAACTTTTATATTCTCACTTCTTTCGATACCTTCCTCTTTGGTCGGATAAGCTGATGATTTGCTGTAATAAGTTTCTACAGGGAGCGAGCAATGAAGTTGGACCTGGACAAGGTGGCCAATCGCTTAGCTAAAATACACCCAAATTCAAGAATTATCCTCCTTGGAATTCGGGAATAGTTTGCATGAAAATTGTTATTCTTGGGTGTTCTGGTAGCAACCTCTACACTTTATTACTGAATTATTGCATTTCTGTCAGCAGTCATGTTCATAATTTTCAGTGTTTTTGAGACGAAAATAGCTCTATCTCGACGCCGAAATACCGCCAGGGAGATGCTAATTGTAGGATGGTTTGCGAGGTTCGGGGATTTCCGGAGTCTACATTTGTCGCTTTATATAAGTGAGTAATTTGGGGAATACTAACCCTAACCCTAACCCTTACCTTTTAAGAGGTAAATTGGATCCAAGTTTAGTCTTCTAAAAAGGGTTAGGGTTATTAATCTATTCTGCAAAATACTGATTTATAAAAAGCGGCCATTGTGGACACCGGAAATTCCCCAATGGAGACGTACGCCATGCCCTGCGGTCCTGGAGCACTGAAATTCCAAAATGTCCAGCACGCGCAGGCGAATTATTAAAATTAAATTGAATCATATGTTACTCCCGAAATTCTGCATAGATTTTGCACTGAGATACATGATTTGAGTTGTAGGTGGTGCGACATAGATTAATTACATCAGTATCTTGACTGATTTCGATAATAATAATTGTCTGCTCAGGTTAGTCAGAGTGGTAAGTACATTGTAATCTGATTTTTTAATGCTTTCTAAACTAAAGAAAATTAATGTGGAAGCATTGGGTTTCATCTATTTATTTGCGAATTGTAGCCAGGGACATCAGCCTCACTGTTGGCTTGCATTGTCTGCACCGGAAGTGACTTTATATTGACCAGTTTGGAAAGTCTTTTGGGGAGCAAATATTAATTTGTATCAATCTAATGTATATAGACGGATGCCTCTAAAGACGCACACAAATGAACTCTTTGACAATGAAAAGAGAGAATTCTTAAAATATGTTAGTTAAAGTTTCCACGAATGAGGCCCAAGAGATTCTGTGCACATATGATAACAAAATTGTTCTTTTATTAATTTTCGTCTAGACCCCCCCCCCCCCCATCCCCTTCCGTTAAATTTTGTCACGGCTTTGATCCACACTGATATGTACTCAGATTGGTTATTTAACAGTTAATAAGGAAAACAAAATTAAACATCAACATTTGATAATCACCCGATTTTCATTCAGTCGTTTTTTTTTTTTTAAAAAAGGCTCATTGAACCATTTTGAAACTGATATAACAATATTGTAGTCTGCAAGGGATTTTTATATCACTCAAACCGAGGACAGACACTTTAAACATACATCATGCAAGAGCTAAATTTGCCAATTGGTATCTAAATATTAATTATTATTAGACATTGATTAAATTATCCAAACAATAATCAACACTCGATGGCATCGCTAGCCTGTGATATATACTGGATGAGACCCCGGTCTGCTGCTTCATTTTAAATAAAAAAATGAATAATCGAGAATATGTTCTTTTATCGTACCGACTTTAGTAATGATGATCGACGCGAGGCCCAAAATTCAATCGCTAAATACTCAGTTCAGGGTAGATCAATTTGACTGAAATTTTCAGCAAATTCTCTTAGTTTTTAACTAATATAGTGAGAACTACCAGCTCTTTATCTAATCTCCCATAATGTATCTTTAACTGAGCAGCGATAAACAGTTTGATTTGTTTGCTGCTTCTAATTTAGGTAGGATGTTAAAACTTGATGTAATGTTCATTAGATGATTGTTTTGACCGAGGTCGAGGATGACCATTTTCTGCTTAGGATAAACAGAGACAAGGAATTTGATTTGCTAGCTTTAGAACACGGTGACTTTGATTTGTTCCTAATTTGGTGGGAGTATATTTTTATTAAATCTGTACCTTCACTAAGTTCGATAATGTTACTTTTCTGCTCAAGAGAAGCAATTTGATGCCTTGATGTAATTAATAAGTGTCATCTATTTATTTTAATATTAAGGCGGGGGATATCAGTCTTACTATTGGTTTGTTAATATTGAAATGTTAAAATAGACCTAGACGCAAACCCATACACTCCCATGAAAAAACTTATTGATTTTAACAAATCTAACTTGTGTCTAAGTAATGATCCCATATGTACCAACGTTTGTTTGTTTTTGTTATTGTTATAATGTATGTATTTACTGGGTCGTGGCTGATTAATATCAGGTGTTTTATAAAGAGTAAGTATAGCATGTCCTGTGTACGACGTCTGTCACTATATACTTATGCATTGGAAGAGCCGCTGACCGAGCAAAATTTCTCCCGTAGTCAGTGGCGGCGACGGGGGAAGGGGGTGAGGAGGTAAAGAGGGGAATTTGCTTCTCCCTTTAAATCTGGTCTGCCCTCTGTTCGCCAACACCCCCCCCCCCCCAATAATTTTTAAAAATAGAATAAAATATTTTTGATATGTTTCGCTAATCAATCCCTTAAAAGTTGATTAAATCCCACATTCCCACTCAGCCAAAGACTTGCATGTTATAGAGTCCGAGTGCTTTATACCAAACCCATCCTGCTGTACACCTGTATAGGTTCAACGCAGCGGGAATATTCATAAACTTTGATTTTCCCACTTCGTTCGATACTTTCCTCGATGGTCGGATAAGCTAGTGATTAGACTACAGGCGGTATCCGGTGACAAGCGTCTCCGAATCT